ACCACAGAACATCATTTGTCATAAGAAAAACTTTTTCATCCATGTGAACCAGAGAAGCGGACTCGCTAATCAACTCGGACTTAAGACTAACGGAGAAAAGTTTCAGCCTAAGAAAAACACAAACAAAAATGATTAAATAAGGACCATCAACCTTAATGCAGTAAATGAATAAAACCTTTCACTTTCAACTTTACAAATGTGACTATGCCTCTCAGCTATGACGCAGTCATTACTGCAGAAAGGATCTCCTACAGCTTGCAATGGTATCAGGTTCAATATGGATTCAAGAAAAGTGCTTTTCAATATAGAAAAACCTTCAGTCTGATGAACCGAACAAAACACTACATACAATATACATGGCATTTAAAGAAAAGATACGATATAACTTGAAACAATTGGTTAGTGTAGTTTCAATAGCAAGTATGTAACAACTGTGCTAGCTAGTGCAAGAACGTATTTAGCTGTACACCAGCTTATCTAGCTTAAGTTACAGATCACATTCCTTTAAAATGTAATAAAACTTTAACTGGAGTAGCTGTTAATTTATATTATTATACAAACTACAGGATAACCAGCTGTTTGTTTTGCCTCTTCTTTAAGCACAGAATTTACTGCATGCAGTGCTTCAGTTCTGTCCTGTAGACTGAGTTTGTTTTTTTTTTTTTTTTAATGAAAGGCCCATTATTTGATTTAAGTATGGGTTTCACTTTTGTACAATGCAATGCTTGCAGCAAATAATAAGATTACATTCAAATTCTCTAATATTGACTCAGACTCTGATCTACCTCACATTCCTGCCCATCAACACAAACCACATCGGTAGAAGCAATTTTGCCTAGCATGGAGTTCATTTAGAGTTTGCCAGCATTACCAAGTATTGTCATGACTTCACTTTCTAGTGATGAGGAAGGCTGTTTATTATGGGTACTGCCTTTCTATGTTATTTAGGTATAGATATTGAGTGTGATTCGTTTTATGGCTAAAACAAAAATTTCACAAGATGTTAATGTAGCACAGCATGTGCTACCCCGGGCTCAAGGAGGACGCTGGAGGCAGGGTTCAGTGTCGGAGCAGCCATATTTCTTTTATTCACACAACTCAAACAACCAAACTATGCTAGGCTGGCCACTTTTCAGTGGCTTCAGCCAGACTTTTCAGTCCTTCTCCTAAATAAGCTTTTCAGCTCTTCTGTCTCTTTCTGCTGCTGCTCGTCCCTCTCTCCTCCGTCTCTGTTCCCTCTCAGCTCTTTTAAAAGGCCAGCCAGATCAGCATCAGCTGGCTCCCATCAAGGGCAGCGTGAGCACCGGAGCCGGGAGGGAACGAGAGCTCGCTGCTCCACCCCCTTGTCACTGCCCCCAGCTGGCAGCTCAGCCGCCCGGGTCGAACGTGAGGTGTAATGGAGCGGCCTCACTGCGTAACAGGGGGCGGGGCCCAGGCGGCGGAGCTCGGGACTCGCCCCTTGCCCTGGTGCCTCTCGTTGCCTGCGCTGTCGTCGTCCTCCCCCTCCTCCCGCCGTCACCCGGGCCACTCGGAGGAGCCCGGGCCCCGCCCCTCCCCACCCGCGTGAATAGTCTTCGCTGTCATGTTTTTGTTTGTATTGAGCTGTAATGAGGCAAATATTGCCTCTACAGCAGCATTTATGGTGGAACGGGAAGTCTGAATAAGAAGCCAATACTTCAGTCTTGTAACTTTATTACCTGCACAGGAGTGTGATGCAGTTGACTAGTATTACATAAAACTCTATGAAGATGATTCCTTCAAAGCATGAATTTACCCAGCTCTATGAGTGATAAAGATTTAACTACTTGATTTGTTAAGTAAAGTTACCCATTCAAACATGTAATATTTCTATCTTTAGACAGCACTTTCAACATTGTTTCTTCTTTTAGAACACTTCTTGTTGTTGCATTTTTTGGCAGCACAATGTGTTTTTTCCCCAACAGTAGAGATTCACGTGCAGCTTCTCCAGAGAAGGATTACCGAGCCCTGCTATAATGGCAACATCTCAACAGACCTCTTTTCAGACCTGTTACAGAGGTAAGTATGCTTTTCTCAGGTGTGGAGTCAAACTCAGCAGTTATGTTGGACGGGTGGCATGACGTTTGTAGTGTTTATGTGAAGAAATCTGCTGTCACACAGTAATGAGTAAACCCATATGACGCAGTGTCTGAAAACGTACAGCCATCACAAAATTTGTTTCCTATAGTGTTCTATATAGTGATCCAGATGTTTGAATGTAGGGTATAGTAATCAGGGGACCATTTCAGATTCTGGCGGTGCAGGTTGTGCATGTTATCTAATGGCGATGGGGGTGGAGAAATGTAAGGGAGGTTCTTATAAAATGAGAGGAGGTCAGTGTAAATACAGACAAACCTCTCAGGCAGATAATGCACTTGTGCTGAGAAAAAACATTTTTTTTTATTATATTCTACATATTATACAAGTTATTTGTAGAAGTAATAAATAACTAAATTGAACAATGAACCTTTTTATCAATGAGATGTGTAAGTGTGAAAAAGCTTGTTTAAAAACCTGCACACTTCGTTACCAATTAAAGGTTTTTCCTAGAAGTGTATGTTCAAGCTACAAACTATTTATTTGTTTGACTGTATGCCATGTTCTATATCTAAATATGAATATGAATGTGTATGAATGTAACCTTGCTCCACGTCCAAAATCTGAGGATGACCTCACCCCTGAGAAAGCCACAGTGAACTGCCTTTGTGCTTTGAACGAACATATAAAACTGATGACTACTGACAGTTCTAGTTGATTGGGTTTTGCTGGAGTAGTGTTGCTGTCTGTTACCATTACTTCTCCGTAATCCTCCTGCCCAAAAGGGCACCCATCTTGAGGGTCAAATGGTGAGTGACAGGGAGCTTCACATTGAATTGTCATGCTTCTGATTTCTGAGCCAGTGATTGGCCACAGACAGGTGTCTGATGGGCTGTGGCATGGCTGTGGACAGCTGGGCTGAGGGCTTGGCTGCAGACCCAGGCAGGGGAACGGTGTGTCCGGATGATTCACTCTGGTGCCTCCAATCAGAGACAGGAGTGAGGCACTGTTCTTCTCAGGGCTATCTTTTACAGGGCGAAACTCTGCTAAAGATACATGAGGGGAAAAAAACATAACGGCTCCATTCAGGATTGACCTTAGTTGTTTACTTGCTTCAAGAAAGGAAAGTGCCATGAGTGAACAGAGGTGAATATTACAGGTTCATGCACCAAATTTTTGTCACTGTAAAAATAGATTGCTGAGTCATATGATTGAGTGCCTCAAGAATATGATCCACCATCTAAGTTTATATCAACAGAGTTTAGAGTTGGTCAACTCCTCTCATCTAGATTAATGTAAACAGATTAACACACAAATAATAGTGCCAGATCACTTTGCTAATCTGCACTACATACACTTGGATCAATTTTCCCCAATAATCTTCCCATTCAAATATTTACTCACTCTCATGAACAAACACAATAATCTCACCTAAAACCTTTAGCCTTTCTCTGGTGCCTGTTTACGGCAGGCCGGTTTTCTTAATCCATTAATTGGTATGAACTCGACTGAACTGAGCCTCTTTGAACCCATGATAAGCTGGTTTATTTCAAACTACCAGCACACTATAGAAACAAAGGCTAGTTATGAAAGTCCTGTACTGGCTACTGCGGCTTCCTAATCATTATAGCAATTCAAACATTCTGTATGACAAATGCCAGTGATGACTCAGAGGAAGGGTGGAAAGAGTACTGTCAACTCTGCACAATAGTCATCATGGTGCCAATGTGTAGGCTGACAGTTTTATATTTACAGCAGTCACATGTACAGCATAACAGACGGGGGCCAATCAACTGTGACTACAGGTGCATTTTTTGCAGCTAAAATTGTTGTATAAAACACACTTCTGTTAGTTACATAAGGGATGTTCAAAAGGTAATTGTGGTTATGCAAGAATGCCGCTATCATAACTATCATAATGAAGAAAAAAGGTGAAAGTGTGAGACACTGAATGCTAAATGCAAAGAGGTTTTGAATAAAATATCCATTGTAGACTTTGTGGTCATGTCTGCATGTAGCTTAATACAACTCCAATGATAGGTAAACAAAAAAGCAAACCATTCACTAGTCAGTCAGAGACTGGAATAGGAAATTGCTGCCTAATGCTAATGCATGGAATCAACAGAAGTATGGAAAGACGTTTAGGACTAGGGAGGGGTGGATAAATACTGGGGTACTGGTATGTCTGATCCTGATGTTTTCTTTTGGGAATTTATCCTTGCTTTAAACAGTTTTCTTTAACCAGCAGTTTAATATATATATATATATATATATGAATGAAACTGAATATTTTATGGTGGAAAAAAAGTTAGAAAAGTTACTTGTAGCAAATTAATTACACCAGTAATTAAATGTCTGTGTGTATGAAGCCTTTTAAAAGTATCTGTATTGGTATCTGGATTAGTCTTTATATTACTAATAATATTATATTACTAGAAATGGATTAAGAAGAAAATCAGTGACGTCATCTTCCCCTGTTATAACACAAGAATGTAAATATGTGGAAGTGTTAATCACAGTAAAGGTGGACGTGATTAACTATCTTATCAAATTTCACACTACTGTTTCAAAGACACTTTGTCCAGACATATATTGAGTTAAAAATATGAAGCTTTACGCTGTCCATCACTTAGCCCTGGTGTCCAACCGTCAGTAGCCTACATGAACGTCTTCTGTGCCAAACCACCAGCGTACGTAATCTTTTCTGAATTGAGTTGAGTGAAATAAGTCCAGAGCAACAAAAGGCGTAAAATCCTATCTAATTATCTCCCATAACAACGAACTAACTCTTTCAATGAACTTATTTAATTCAATTTCACTGCTTTTCTTCCTCCTCTTAGCCTGGACGCTTCTGTGAGAAATATAGCCGCTGAACTCGTCGGCCGGCTCTGCATATTAATGAGGCGCGAGGGAGCTTTTTTAAAAGCCAACCGCTCAGCGGCGTTTCCTCACACTGCGCTCACAGCTCAACGGTCCTCCGACTCACTGCTAGCACAGCGCCTTCAACCTGCCTGCCTGCCGAACTAGCGGGCTTGTAGGAGCACAAAGAACCCTGAGTGAAGAGAGAAAGTCGACATTTCTTTACTCGGTGAAAGGATATCGACATTATTAGTGCGTTTTGAACTGCGTTGTGAAGAGAAGCCAGGCGGCTAACGTTAACGTTAGTTTTGAGGAGGTCTTCCTTCAACAGCTACTGGGATGAATCGCTGCACAGCCGCGTTACTTTTGTTGGTCATTGCTATATATTCGCTGAACACAGAAGGTAAATGTGTTCTTTTTTTTCTTTTCAGTTTTTTATTTCTGTCCTTTTTTAACGAAATATGTTTACGGTTAAGAGTTTACCAAGTGCACCACAGTTTATTTACTTTTGGGAACGGTTAACGTCCAGAGGAGAAGTAGCATGATCTTTTTTCTGTTGTTTGCTTCCTTGTAGTGAAGCCAGTTAGCCTAAGAAGTGAGATGTTAAACCGACTTCGTTGCAACTCTGATACAAAATCAAATCTGTCGTACAAAAGTTAGCGTTGTTCTAGTAACTCTGTTTTGGATGAGTTGGTCTTGGCCCCTGTCCTGAGGCTGGAGAGGGATGATGCTGAACGGAACAGGGGAATATTGATGAAGTAGAAGATGTGGGTCACGCATTAACTCCTTTCAGTGGGAGCAGCACAAACAGCCGCTCACCTTTCACTTGGCCTCATGGTGGGATGGTGGAAGGTGCTGGAAAGCGTTAAATGGAAATTTCATGGACTGTCTGTGTTGTTGATGCATGTAGCTGGAGGTTCCACGTATCCCGTGAACGCAAAGATTTGGCTTAATTGTGTATTTTTGTCTGTTCTTCCATTGTTGGTAGTTGGATGTTGAACAGCTCTGCGTTTCTGAAGGAACTGTTGAAATGAGACATTTGGTAGAAGTTAATTGAGAGGTTCTCTAAATGATATATGATTATGTATTTCTAACAGTCTGTATTTTCTTTTTTTTGCAGCGTACAAGTGCAGATGCACAAGGAAAGGCCCAAAGATACGGTACAAGGATGTGCAGAAGCTTGAGATTAAGCCTAAACATCCATTCTGCCAAGAGAAAATGATATTGTAAGTTTTTTTTTTAACTCTCCCTCTCTTTCCCTTGCTGGTTCCGGTTCCTTCGTCATTTTCCCATACAAAGACAAAAGTACAGACTACACTATACACTATGGAGTCAGCAAATGTGTTTACTATAGATTGCAGCACAACTGCCCTGTCCATCCCTGAGAGCTGTGAAACTTCTCAGTGAGCTGGAAACCTCATTTATTATTGATATGACTGTACAGTGAAGTTACTGAGACTCCAGATGGGATCTCATTAGAACTTATTGTCACAGGTGTTTCAGATTTATGGTCTTGCTGTAGGAATTAGTTACTGATTCCCATTGTCTGTTTTTATTGTGAGTGGTAATGAGATCATGTTGTGCACTTAAGTGCTTAAAGCTTAGATCATAGTAAAATATTATTGAACTGTTGAAATACAGAACAAATCACCCACTTTTTTCACCCATTTGCCAGTACATAATTTTTATTATTTGATTCATCCCAGTAGTTTGATTTGATGCATAGGATAGTTCAGGGTTCATTTACAGAGACCTATATGTGGTTTTACTTTGTTTACATTCAATTCAAGTTGGATGTAAATAGACGGATCTCCTTTATCCTGATTACGGATGTGCACACTGCTGCCATCTGCTGTTCTTGGAAGGAATCGTGGTGAAAGAGAAACGTTATACATAACAACAATAGGTCTGGCTTATGGTATAATTGTGGATACTTTCAAGCTTTGTGTCTGAGTCTTTATCCATAATAGTTGGTGCACTTGAATTAAATAATGAGTGAAAATCTGATCCGTTATGAAATTCCAGCATTTCAAACTGAGACCAAGATTTCACTGTTTCATTCTGTAGTGATATGGATTTTTACATGCTATACAGGATCATTTCAGTACAAACATTTATTAAGCAAAAAAGACATTGAAAATGTTATAAAGGGTTATAAAGTATTGCAGATTTCTCTGCAAGTTTATAATTATGATAAATGGTAATACAAATAAGGCTAATGAGAATTAGAACAGATATAGCCCAAACAAAATGGGATCTGTGGTAACAATTATGCTTTACATTTAATTTAGTCTCTCTTTTTATGGTTTGTGACTCAGTGCAGCGTAGGATGTTCGGATTTGTTTGTCTGAAATGATAGGCCCTGGTCCGAATGAAAAACAACCCTGCAGACTGCAGAAAGAGTGTCTTTCTCTCTCTGTGTGTCTGGCAGCAGGCTCTGTCCCAAAGTTTAGCATTCTGGAAGCCTCCTCAGCCCCATATTAGTTCTCTTTCTGTTCTCAAAATCTAGGCATGGCTTTGGAGTCAACAGAATGTCCTGCTGGCTTCACAGGTGAATAGTTTAAGAAGAAGATGCAATAACTGGAGAAGAGTTTAAGCCCCTCTTCCTGTGGAAAAGGACAGCATTTCACAGACTTACATAAGTCTTAATGAGTTTGCTGTTTGGATTATTTTGACTCTTGAATAATTGGAAAATGGAAGATTGTGGTCTTGGCTGCTGTCTTGGATAATAACTGTTAAGCAGCAACTGTTTACTGTACCAGTCTGAGGACAGAGTTGAGTACCTTTGCACTACTTGGAAAAAAGCCAGCTTTAACTACATTCACTACAGGCCCCCTTTGGCCTGTTTAGGATGTCCTTCTAAGTCCCTACACAGCATGTGCTACATCATGTGGCAAACAATCTCCCCTAGCTAGACACTTCATAAATAGACTGGGAACTGCGTGCATCTCAGCTCTCTCCCAACAGAAACATTCTTAAGTATTTGTTAACGTAACAAAATTTTATTTTAAGTAATTTGAAACTATTTATATTGGTTCATTTATTATGAAACGTTCACATAATGTATAGTGCATCTGCCATTTTTGAATGGCACAAAAAAAGGAGTTTATTTTTTATATGACAGCCACAATATATGAGACTAACAGGAAAGTATGTATTGATCACTGCAGTGTTAAGTAACTATATATTTTTTAATTATATTTTTGAGCTGTGACTCAAATCCCCTTTGACCTTCTCTCTCCTTCTCTTCTTTCCTTTCTTTTTGTCTCTTTTACTTAGCGTCACCATGGAAAATGTGTCCCGTTTCAAAGGTCAGGAATATTGCCTGCATCCTAGACTGCAGAGCACTAAAAACCTGGTCAAGTGGTTCAGAATCTGGAAGGACAAGCACAGGTAAGCTACACCAAGCAACAGGAGAATGTCAGAGGTACAATGCATTTGCCTTTGGCTGGACTGTATTGCCCAATGTTGCGAGAGAACAAAATCTCCTGTGTGTGTATATGCCAACATTAAGACTGCTTTGCTTTTTTGTACCTTCGTCTTTTGTACGATCACGTCATTTTTGATAGTAACACAGAGCAGTATAGCTATATTTCCAGATTCATGAGTACAACCTCATTTTTATATATAGCAGTCAGTAAACACTCTTGTACATTATAAAAGGAGAGATTTGTCAAAAAATATTTTTTTTTACTTATATTCAAAATACAGGTTACAAAGTTGTTGTATAACACAATGACTGTTACACAACATTAACATACAGTGCAGGAAGCAGTTGAACAAATTGCCTATTTTTGCTACAAATTTACTTAGTGTAATGATGGAAAGAGGTGGTCAATATTGACAAACTGTAGCTTTTTAGTTAGTTATTTAGTTATTTTTCTTGAAAATTCAGTAGATTTACAAGAAAAAAATGTATCTGTCTCACCTAAACAATTGAGAAGTAGCTGTGCTCTAAAGACAGATACATAAAACACAGAATCTTGGCCTGCTGGTGAGACCAAGAGCTAAACTTGCCAGGACTGAATCCATAGCACCCAACAGCTCAGTTTGCATTTTTTTTTTTATTTTTATACTAAACGTTTAAAATGTATGATTTTATATAAACTAAAGCGTATAAAACATAATGAGTACACTTTTATATAAACTGAAGTGTCTAAAACATCAATGAGAGTATACTGTACATCTTACAATAAACATAGCTTTGTAATCTCTCATTAGATCTGTTATTTCTTTTGTTTTACAGGGTGTATGAGGCCTAAAATGACATAGTGTGAGGAGCTAGAGGCTGAAACTCTGTGGAATGTACAACACCACCAGTGGAACTGTGGATCGGCAGAGGACCAGTTTTCAGAGAATTACGAGGCATTTGCTCAGACAAGCTTAAGAAGCACAAGAGACCTTTTCTTCAGGAACAATGTCTTGAAAGACATCTGTACAAAATATCATTGCTTATATTTCAAACATAATTGTGGTCCAAAACAAGCACTATGTATTTATACCAAGTGTTAGACTTGCAAACAAGACAGCATAAGAAAGTCTGTGTGAATCAGATTTAGATGCGAGAGTGATCGCTGCATTTTCAGATGGGAAATGTTATCCTGATGTGTCTGTCTGTTCCTGGTCTGACTCATTGTATTGTGGTATGTAAAAGGATTTTACCACACGTTATTTTACTACCAGAGAGATGCTGTTGTATTGTAGAGTGCTGTCCACATGGTTCAAACAACATAAAGAAACTGATCGAAAGTTATTTTTCCATACATCAATACGGATCACACCTTTTGACATCTGAGTGAAGCTACTTTTAATATGGGGTGATAGAAAACACAAAGGTAACTGAAAGATTCTGAGGTAACTTGTGTAAATAATTATTGTAAGGGTTTATTATGTGCCAACATACTGCTGGTAAAAGGAGTGAAAAGCTGATTTCGGTACTTTAATTTTGTTTTGCTAAGAGCAAATCCATCAAGACAGATATATTAACCCTCTCAGTTATCCACATTATTTTATTGCATTGATCTGTGATCTCTTGATCTTCTCTTGATGAACGTAAGTATCAATGTTATTCCATGCAGTTATGCACACTTGAGTGTCACGTAACATCCCAGATGGTTAAATTACAGTATCTGATGCAACATGTGTTGATGCTGCTCAAGTTATTCCTAGAAACACTATGGTTTACTCCTATGTGCACAGGTTCTGAAATAAGAGCACATAAACTTAGAGGCCTACAGTAAATCTGTTTGTTTACCTTGAAACTTTGTTTTAAATAATAGCCCTTCCATCACCACACCATCATTACTCTTCTATGGAGTAATATTTTTCTGTTATTTTGTCATATTTGAAATATAAAGGAATGTTATTTTTCCAACTTTTTTTCCGTCATGTAAACTGTATGCGTAAGTCTGTGGTTCTCAACTCTGGTCCTAGAGGTCCTAATGTTTTCCCTAGTCCCAATAGGTGATCCAACTCCCTCCCTAGGCTGAACTGGGTGAGTTAGAACAGAAAAACGCTAATGCTGTGCAGGGTAGAGGTTCTCCAGGTCCAGGGTTGGAAAACTGGTGTGAGCATACAATTAAGTATCTTGTAAATACAGAACATTTTTGCCTAGATGAGTTCATTTAGAATTTCATAGTGGAGCTATGTATTGTATTACAGAGTTGTTGTTTCACTATTTAAATATTCAATAACAGTAATATTTAAATCTTTGTGTTTGGGTTTATCCACCAAACACTGCTTCAGTTGCATTCCAAGAAGTGTTATCTACAGCAATAAAACTATTTAAATGACTCTGGATCTGTGTTCACTTCTTACTGTAGTCATCCCTTTTTTGTTTGTCACATACTGCAGTGAATTTATGCTCTACTGTGGCGTTAAGGTACCCAAGAGTGCTATATAATTAGAGAGCCAGCAGGTGGCAGTACTGCAGCACTTAGTATGTTGACTGAGCTCATGTTCCACAATGCCAGTGTTCTCCATGCTGTGTAGGAAATCGCACACCGCCGTACTGAATAATATGTCAAACCGTCATTAGTAGTACATTCAGTAGTATAGCGTAGCATAGTATGGCAGAATAGCGTATGATTGTATAGTATGTGTCTTTAGAAGCAGCCCCATATTCTAGGCATGACAGGTCTCTAACCATACACAAATGAAGATGTCTTTTATGACCTTAAATGGATTTGTTAGTGCAGCAAAAATACAAAAATATTCAGTGCATGGGTCCAAAGGCCTTCACTTCAGAGGAAGAGACGGTTTGTTTGCAATATTCAGAGTTCAACGCTGGGTGGCGCCCTCGTTCAACACAGGCGAGTCAGAGCTGCCGCTTCGTTCAGATTGCAGGGTCGTATTTTGTCTTTCCTAGCTCGGCTCCATCTGCGCTGAACACACACAAAACCCCAAGAAACCAGATTTCAGGTGCAGCACAGGGGATTGGAATACTTAGGAATACTTCCAATCTCAAAAATGAGGATAAAACGTGTAACAGGATATAGAAGTATAAACCGTACAGCATTTGGGGAGATTTTAACCCCAAATATATTAGAAACTCAAATAGGTGTAGTTATGTCGCACTTAACCTACCAGACACACACATATATGACAACAAATGAAATTATATAAAAGGTAAAGACAACTTCCAAAAAATGATTAAGGGATACATGCAATATTCTCAAGAATTTCAAGAATTTGTTATTTTTTGTATTATTAAAGAATTGACGATATTTAAGTGTAAAACCAGAAGCAATTTAGGAGCCGTTTTGTTTACTTTGTATTTAGTGTTTAAGATGTAAATTAAATGAGAATTTACTCCGCAGCGTCATTTCCGTCTTTTAGGGTCAGCTCAGCTGGAGGATTTGGAGTTTTCATTTCCTTTCTTACTATCACTTTTGCGAGATAAACAGATTTCTGTGTCCAGGCTGAGTTACTGCAACCGAAATTTCTAGAAACACCAGCGAGCCTGTGAAGTTAGGAGAGAGATGCTGTTGCTGGAGGAGGAGGAAGAGCTGTGAGAGAGAGAGAGAGAGAGAGAGAGAGAGAGGAGAGAGAGAGAGAGAGAGGCGGGGTCTGAGTTTTGGCATCTCTCTGGCCGTTGTGGGTGTGTAGGCTCTACTGTACACGATTCCGCGACGAGCTCTGAAGCTTTATCTCCATTTTTGAGCAAACAAGGAACCAGCTACAGAAGCTCGGCATGCCATCCGAATATATTAGCTAGTGTTTTTTTCCGTTTCGGTTGTCTAAAGGAGTCTGCTGCGGACGGAAAATTGCAGAAACAATTTATTGTTGTCGATTGTCGTCGGATTTGACCTGGTAAGTGCATAGCTAGCTTATTCGATGCTCCGGCGGACTGACTAACGCTAGCTAGCTGCCTGCCTAAGCTAGCTAACATTAGCTGGCTTGTGCTGTAGCTATGTAACTAGCTAGCATGCTAGCTTGCGACTTGACAGACCAATTAAAGTAGGACGCCTAGTTTTTAATGGCCTCATTTTTGATAATCTGCCAGTTTTATACGTCGTGCTTTTCATTTTTTTCTCCAACGGTGTGGTTATTAAAACCGTTTCCTGCTAATACCGAATTCTAATGCCTTTGTGCCTGCTATCTGCCAGCTAAGAGAAACTGACTGACACAGTTCAAGTATTATCACAGACATCTAATCCTGCGGTAATTCTGCCAGCGTCAGGAATGTAGATAGCTAGGTAAATAATATAAATAAATGAGGAATGACAGAATATCTGTTAAGTGCTTAATGAGCAAAGTTACTTAGCTGCTTGTTTGCAAACCATTATGTAACTAACTGGTCAGGTAGAAAATGTGGACGTGTCTGAACTGGAATTTATCTGGACTTCACGAACTAGCAAAAGCTTAGCTAACGTTAGCTGAGTTACGTTAGTCTGGTTTCAGTTCATTGGTCGTTAATTAGCTGACGCTGGGTGCTCTGTGCTGGAACGCACGAAGTGTTTTTTATATGACGCTGTATAATTTTTGTAGTTGTATAATGACCTGTGTAACTCATTAAACTGTCACATTTGGCTAACGTAACTTAAATTAGTTAGTAGCAAAGGTCAGAAATGCCCTTAGTTGTCTCTGTAGTCTCTGTATACAGGTGCCATTGTACTTGGGTAGAGTAACCCATCATTGTTTGAATGAATACCAAACTAGGCTTCCTTCTGCTTTGGTCAGGATGCGTGAAGTAAGCGATACTCCGCTTCAGTCCAAACTGGTCGCGTCATGAATATTTTCTTAAGGCGCAATATATTGTCCTTTGTTTCACTGTTTTTTTTTTCAAAATTTCTGCACAATTAAATTTCATTTAATTATGTCATTTAGAGTGCTTTGGTGTAAAATCCTTGATCCAGAGAAACTCACTGAGTCAGAGTTGTTCACAGTGGTGACAGGAACCAGACGGCTCTGAAGACTTTAATGCCACTAAAATCTCCCTCACAGAAAGTTATAACGTGAAATGGTTATGAATACTCAGCCTGATGTCTGAGATATTGTTTTATGGTAATTTTGTGATAACATTTTGGCCTAAAACGTATTTTAATCGATTTATTTTATTCATGGTGGAGAGATGAAGGGTGGTCTAAGGCAAAATAGTCCCTATAGAAAACTTTTTTTTTCCCAGATTTTCCAGTATTTTACCATGATCAACATTACATATAAAAACTCAGACGACACATGTAGGTTTACTGGTGGTTTTGGATAGTAAGTAAAATGGCTGTATTTGTATGTCAGACATTGAGACCCCTGGTTTCTGTTACCACCACTGAAAAGAAATCTGAGTTGTCAGGTTTCTCTACAAATTAACCATTTCACATCAGACTACTCCAAATGACTTTGTTTTTGTTTTGTTTTTGTTTTGTTTTTGTTTATGTCTGAACCACTGAATTATGCAGACATTTTGAAAAAACGGTGGAATTTCCCTTTGTGTTTTTTAATTACCCATTGTACCATATTAAGAAGGCAGACTAATCGAGATCACACTGTTGTTTCCAACACAAGTCCAGAATCCCACACCTTGACCCTAAAATGTGCTTGTGTAAACATGTTCGCCATATATTGTCATAGGTATCAAAGGTCATATTTAAGTTTGAACCAAGCTTAAAGAAGTGGTTCACTAAAAACCCTTACCTTAGTCCATCAGCCAGGACTTTTGGTGTCAGTATTTTGCTGCTTCTGCTATAGTTTTGCACGGGAGCCATAATACTGACAAATAAAATATATATTGAAATCGAATAGTTGATTTGTTTTGACCAGTATTTGATAATGGTTTTTTGTGCTCTGGAAGAGCAGAAGGTTTAGGCGATGCTGGGCTACAACACTAACAAATCTGTGTTTGATTAGTTTTGCTGCCTTTGGAATCCCCTACAAATAAATGTTACATTTCTCTGTAATACTAATCTAGGTGCTCTTGTCCCAATAACATCATTCTATAAATGCTGAAGTATCGGCATCAGCATCAGCAGAAATGTACTTGGAAAAATATTGTATATCTTTATCGGCCCAAATTGGTGCATCCATATTATGGTGAACGTGTCCTGCTCTGTTTTTCGTGCACAAGTTTGATCGCTACAGTTTTAAGTTTAGGTATAGCTATAACTCAGCACCGATTGGTCAACACATGTCAGTCAATGAGACAAATGCCTTTTAATAATAGATGACTGACACCACACAATACTTGATCATTTTTTCACTGTTTGACTTCAGAGCCCTTTGGCACTTTAGGCATAGTGGTTTAGTGAAGGACAAACAACCAAACAAACTCGGTATTTTTAATAAAGCCCCCAACCCTTTCCAGTTCTCTTTTCTTCTGAAAGATGGTTGTGTTCCAGTGCAACAAAGCCAAGCAAAGCCAAAACCCCCCGTCGAGCCAAGGACAGAATGTCTGAAAGACTAGATAAACCCATGCGTTCACACCAGCATGAAATCAGCCTGCTTCCCAAAACAGAAAAGCGGATGCTGGAATAACTTCTTCGTGGAGCCCCTGGGTGTGGAGAGAGGGACATTGTCCTGCCTGATGCCTGTAGCAGATGCTGGGCAAAGGTGTCCTGTCCTTTAGAACATGCTGAATGTGTCTCACACAGATTATAGATAAAGCCAGCTGTCCTTGAGAAGATTTCTCTGCTGTTACTTGGCTCAGATTCTGGCCTCCTCACCAACTGACAGATTCTCCTCCGACTCATCCTGTTGTCTGCCATGGAAACAGTTGGAGCACCATATGGGTGTGTGCTAGATAAGGGTTAGCACTTATCTGTGATAACACTATTCAAATCGAGACTACATACGTTAATTAGTGCTATTCGAATGTAGTTATAAAACCTGTTTTTATGGCTGCAGACTGCAGTGGGTGTTAACAGTCACGTGAATCTTGGCGTATTTTTTCTGATAACGAAAGTGAAATATGACCACACTTCCTGTTGTCTTTGGGAGAGAGTGGTTTGTTGTCTGGAGACATTAAGCAGAGACCCTCTGCCAAGAGAACAGATCAGAACAGAGCAGTGTTTGACTCAGTTTGCTGGCGAACCAGCACAAACAAAAGCCAAAATAATTAAATCTATTCAGTTCAAGAAATAAAACAAAAGGCGTTTTATTGATCTAATGCATTAGCCAGTCTTGTGTGTGCATCAGTTTCTTCTGCTAGAGAACAGGCTTTCATGTTGCCTGTAAAATGTTTAATGTGGTTAGCACTGCACATACAAGATGACACAGATGAGGTTGTATGATCTGTCTGTGTAGCACATCGTCTTTGTTAGCATGACTCAGCCTTTCCTAATAGAAGCTATTCAAATGGGACTTCCTAAATAACCCCACTCTCGACCACATGACCTCTGCTTTGAAAGGGAATCAAACACATCCTAATAAAGCTGTTTGATATTTTATTCTTAACATATTAATTGAATTAATTGACATGTTTCTTCCAAGTACACTACATCTGGTACCTGTTGCTTACTCTCAGCCTCAGATGTCTGTATCTGTTGCACCTTAAACTGGCGTGATTTTGTCATTTGCGTTCAGATTGGCTTGCCACACACCTGTGTGTACGCACTTCCTTGCACTTTTTTAACATGTTCAATAGGAAACACAGTTTTGCAAAGTACCTGTGACATGACGAGTCTTTTGGAGTGAGATATAGTAGCTGTGTTTAAGAACATGTGAAGTTCATAGAATCACATCTTTATAAGTTGTTCAGCATTTCTTTAAAACGCTGGAAAGCTAATAAGCAAGATATCCTGGTGTTCACTGATACATACAGCTTTGTTTCCTGTGGGTTTGTTTTTGTCAGAGACTTGTTTTAAAAACGGCCTGCCTCTATATGTCACACAAAACAGCGCTCTCTAGTTGGTTATTTAGCGAATGTATTACAACTAGAGAATGAATGTATTAATTTCCTGGGTGATTCACATGTGGTTTAATAAATATAAAGCTAGTGATGATTAATAGCGTAACTGATATTATTACAATCTTTAAATCTTGCTGTGCTGTAGTGCTAGTGGCACAACAGTTAACTTCTTTTGCAGGTTAAAAAAGACATCAAGAAACAATGGCTCTATTCTGGGGAGATTCAACTACAATAGCATTGCAATAAGAATTTTGCAGGGAAGCAAGCGCTCTGTTACTCTTATATTTGCCACCATGAAAATAGAAAAATGTGCATCACAATCATAGCAATAGTAATAAATCATGCTTGATATCTTCTTGTTTATGATTGGTTTGTCGGTTGTAGTGTAAGCAGATGCTTGGTCAAAAATAAGCTCTGCGATCCATGTGCTAAAATCAAACACATCTTCGCTGTTGTTTTATTGCTCATCTCATGTTATTAACCACAGCTTGAGCTGCAGTGACGACATGAGCGTCTATAAACAGTAAACCGTTAAAGCAGGAGGACTGTGCAGACAGTACAGCGCTGATGTGCACTGAGGAGACACACTCTGGTGTTGAATCCCCTCATGAATTAGTTATTCAGTTAGAATACAGTTGGAATAGATTCACACTAAAACGGGCCGAACTAAAGAAAAAGTTCGATAGGCCCGTAGCAACCACTGCAGATCTAAAAGTGATCTTTGTTTAGCAATGTAGCAGTAAGAAAAATTCAAACTGACAATTAGAAACTGTGGCTGTGCATTAGTTCATGTATCGTAGTAAGAATTTTTACCAGATCAATGAGCTGAAGCTCCTCTCACTGAAAACGAACTTGCGAAGGCTTTACTGTTAAATGTCCTGCCCCCTGGCTGAAGTAGAGATTCTGATTAGTTCTGTCAAAGAGTTTGAGTCTATTTGTTTGTGTCTATGGGTCAGCACTCCGTGTACTTTAATTTCTTCATGATATAAGCTATTTCTGAACAGTCAGATAGTGGTGGGTTTTCGCCCCAGTACTTTGAAAAGTCAAATGCCTGAGTCAAATGCCCAATCTCCCCAGTGGTTCTGGCAGCCCTGTACTCAACACAAATAAATGAAATAAAAATGTAAAATAATTTTTTCACATCAGACATATACACAGCAGATATGGTAGGATTTTTGTGAATCTTGCCATGTTGTTCAAGCCACAAAAAACACACCTCAGAAAACAGGTGAACTGTTGTTGGGCAGGCTAGTTTGAATTTTGGAAAGGTGGAAGAAGCATGGAGAGCTTCATTGCTTCATTCAGAAGCTGAAACTTGGTGCTTCTGCATATAACTTAGATGTCCGTAGCCCAGTTTAAGGCCAGTTTGAGTTACTTTTGGAGGTGCTAGCACCATCAATGACAAAGCAGTATCCTTGTGCTGTTTCTCAAAAAGTTCTAGTTGCTGAGTCACAGTCAATCGATTGTTGCCAAGACAGCACCAGAGACAAGTGATTAGTTGAGTGAGTTCATGTCATCTAAGGTACACATGTTCAGAGTAGTTTGTCATCTGAGACAAATAAATCTCACTTGGTGTGTAAAGTTGAGTCTGTTGCCAGTAATTATACTACTGGAGCCAGTAAATCAGATAGATTTAGGTTGCATAGGAGATCAGATGGTTGAGTTGACCACTTACAAATGCAGAATGGTGCCCCCCTCCTCATAAAGTTTAAAACAATGTAGTTTTTTTACAGGAACTATGGAGTTATGGACTTTAGAAAAAATGAAGATTGTAACACGTTCTATATCCTAATTATTCTGATATACTGAAAGAGAAAGAGAATTTTTGGAAAAGTTATCTCTTCTCCAAAGTGTAGGGTGAAAGTATGAAATGGCAAACTGTTTTGCAGATAGCCTGTCCAGTTTCATGTTAATCTATTGCTTCCCCTTGCTGTTCTCGTCGCAGTCCCTCCTGAATGTTGTCAGTAACTGATCAGCAAAATTTCCCTGCTTCTTTTGCTTGCATACTAATGATTAGTGCCTAATTCTGTGTTGCCAGGGACCACCACAGTGCCAGTTCAGACTCTTGGCCACATAGTCTAAGCGTCCTGGGGGTTAGTGCAACAGTGTGGAAATTTCCATTTACCGCAGAGCAAAGGAGGAAGTTTACTAATCAATCATACCAATGTCACTGTAAAGGCAAGCTCAGTTGATGCTGTTGAGCTGTCAGAATTCACCTGAAGTGTGACGGGTTTGTTTTAAGGAAAGTTGGAATTGCTCCTTATTCATTCATAGATGTGCTGAGATCCTTGTAACAAAGATTGATGTGTAGTTTTGTCATTGCCATAGTTTTTGTGTGTGGTGGGTGAAAGACCTCAGTGCACCCAAATATACACATGACTAATACACAGCTAAAGCAAGATACTTGAAATCTCTCTAAAACTGTGTTCTATAAAATACAGACATCTACATTTCTTTTTTTATGTTGTTTGTATAAACAATATGTCATGGAGACGCATCTAAGTTGCCTTTGAATTTGACTGGTGTTGGCAATTCTGTAAGCATGTGTCTACACACTGCGGCATATGCTTATCCTAAATCAAGTTTAGAATACGCTCCAGTTCAGCATCTCCATGGCCTGCCCCAGTGTGAGTAACATGGCCCTTTTACTGCTGTCTCCTAAAGAGATCCATCATTACTAATTAATTACTGGCATGGGAGATGTGGCCTCTATAACTGGCATGGGCAAGTACAACTGTTTGAAGTCAGAGGGTTCAGTTGATAGAAGTTAATCTGTGGGTTATCACCAGGGTTTTGGAGCTTGGATTGAAGTTGTCAGAGTTTGAACTAGTTTGTTTGCATAAACTGCGTTGTTGAACAATGGAAAAAATATGTATATATAAAGGGGAAAATAGTTCTGGAAATTGTCTGTAAGAAGCAGTGCACCTCACTCCACTGGCAGTCTGTCTGCCTCCTGAACTTCTCCAACAATGGCCGACATTGTGAACTGAAAGGTCACTGCATTCATTGTGTGGGATTAGTACCAGAGCTACTCTCTATTGCCCGAAAGCCAAGATGTTCGTTCTTATGGGTCAGTTCACATATCTTTCTGTTCAGTTTTGGGAACATTTTGTCCCCGTTTTACACGGCTGATATCAGACTGGTAATGAATTATAATGAAAAAAGAGGATCTACTGAAACCTAACTTGAGTGTATAATTAAGCAGTTTATATGCATGTGGAGTGGGATAGTTTGACCACAAAAGAGCCTTAAATGAAAATAGAGGTAATCCAGTAACTATGGACTGATACTGTTTGTAAAAAGAGGTTTGAGAGGGATATTCAAGATGCTGAGAATGTGTAGATAAGAGAAATAAGATTTTTTCAGCTTGTACTAAAGGGGAATTCTACTGATTTTTTTTCTGCATAATTCAGTGGTTGAGACTCACAGATTCAGATTTTCTTTACAGTGCTAGTGATAGGAACCAGGGGTTGCAACATCTGCAACACAAATATAGCCATTTTATTTATTATCCGAAAAGACTATTGAAATTACATTCTTGTGAGTTCTATATATATTTGATAATTCTAAAATACTATTAAAAATAGCGTTAAATAAAAATTTTTTTTGACTACTGCAGAGTAGTTTTCATTCTCTCTGATGTCTGGTCTGGTCACCACCACTGTGAACAATTGTGACTGAAGTTTTTCTCAAGCTGCACATTTCACATCAAACCACTCTGAATGGCTGTTTACATCTTATGCATAATATTTAAAAAATCTTTGTGTTGAAAGCAGCTGTAACTTTGTTTTACTCAGGTTTAAAAACCTGAAAGTTAAATGACAGGTAGTTTAATGTGCTTGTAGGACAGTCAGCCGATCAGATTAAATGCTAAATGCAGAGGAGTGCCATTATTGTGTAGATGGAATGCATGTGATGCCACATAGACAATGCTGCGATTTAGTCTGAGCTAATTCATATACACAGATTCCTCTTCATATACACAAAGATGTTTTTCGGAATTTACTGGCTTGGATTAGTGGATTGCAAATATGATACAGCTGATGATGGTTTAGTGGGTCGTTGTATTACAACACATTTAAAGAATCTGTTTTCTTACCTCTCTACAGCTTAACCACTGACGTCCTGAACAGGATTTGCGGTCCGTCAATGAGGAACTACAGGCTCATCTTTTGCCATAACCTGAAGCAGCCATAGATCTTTCAATTCACTGCTAGTGAGTGGAGCAGGAGATACGTTGAACTTCTGGGCGTTTGAAGTAAAACAAGGTCAGTAATATTCTGTTTCACACATTCATAGAAGAAAAAGGCCCCATTCCTTGTCTTTTTATTAACATACGTTGATAGTCAAGGCCATCTGATAGAGGTCATCAAGCCGACATTCTAATGGAGCCGGATTCAATTCACATGAACTCTTTTATGCATGTTGCTGAGCGCTATTACATCTTTCTGCAGATTTATATGTATATAATTTCTCATTTGACCCTGCTCTATAGGTAATAGTAATCTGTAGTTATGTGTTTTTCTTTATATGATGGAAAGTTCGTCTTAACAGTAGGTCTTCAGCTGCCCACCTGTTACTGTTGGTGTGGCCTGCATATTTCATCAGATCCTGGTTCATGACAGTCACCTCACTTATGTAACCCCTCTCCGTCCTGGACTCTGGGCAAGATAAGAACTCCGACTCCAAGGATGGGAGTGGCCCCACTCCAGTTCTAGCTTGTTTGATTCTTTTTCTTGTGTTTGTAGTGTTTGCATGTGCCCCGCCTGCCCTGGTGATTGCGTGTTGGTGGGCTTGTCGGTCTGACTCTGCTCTCTGTGTTTTCGGCCAAGCAGAGCGACTGAAGCAGCCTGGCTGTGGAAGCGATGAGGAAGAGCCTCTCTCCTTCTCTCAGTGACTCCTTCAACACAGCCAGGGTGTTCGGCATCCCCCTGGAGGAGGTGCAGCAGAGCGGCCAGCCAGGGCAGGAGGTCCCCCTACTGGTCAGGACCATTGTAGAGTACATTGAGGAGCACGGTGAGTGCTAATGTGACTTCTAATACTCGGTCACCATAATTTTCGTAAAGCCGTAATTAATTTTTTTAAACCATGCCTTGTAACAGTTTTGCTGTTAAAACGCAGAACATATGACTCATGTTCAGCAGTGCTGGTCCTGGACAGATTCTTTACACTTGAATTTAGTTTGTGAAGAAATGTACTTGTCTTAATTTTCACCTGTACTGATTTGAGTAGATTGATGGACTTGTATATTGCTCATTTAGTCTAATTGTTTAATATTTCAAATCATTATTTTATGGTTAATTATTTACTAATTGAACAGTTATTGATTAGTTATCCTTGTTTAAGTTGTAAAGGTTCCATGAGAATGCTTTGTACTTTTGATAAAACCACAAATGTTGTTTGCTGTGACTATCAGATAAGCGAGACCTCACACAATGTCCTTTCTCTCCTTCACAACGTTACACCAGTCTTAGTTCCTTCTTATCATGAAAGCATGACTTGGCTAAGAACAGGCTAGATTTATCATATGATGCGATAGTGCCCGATGTACTTTACTTTCACAGTTCACATCAAGGATTCTGTCACCATGTAAATGATACTTTAGATGACAGCATGCTAGTGGGTTTTACACTCCAGGATTGACTCTGTGATTAATCTGGGTTTTTGGCATCCTGCCTCAGATTCAAAAATCATAATAGAGGCATTTGAGTGGCTTTGTTCTCTAAAAACATTATCTTTAATCTCTTCTAGAATGTGGTTGATGTGGCTTTAAATGAATGGATGGTGGCATGACTGAGAACTAGAGGGCGTTGACACCTGTGCAGTTAAGGCTGATTTATACTTTTACGGAGATGCATTTCATTTTATCTATGTTACGGTGCAGAAAAGTGGTTCATAGGTAAGTGTAGCTCCCAGAGGCTTAGAGAGGCGCAACATGCACACCAAAATCTCAACTATGTGTTTTTTCAGTCCACAGTGCTGCACAACAAGCAGGCAACTGGCTGTCCAGTAGCACAAGGGGCAGGACAAGACCCAAACCTTGCTTGGCCCAAACCAGACATAGAACAGAGCAGTTCTAGGATCGGCTGATAGAGGAGGATCCATTTTCAGAATTTTACGAAAACAGTGTAGATTTTTTCTCTTTGTTAACTGTACATTCTAGTTTGGGCACTGCCCAATAATGCACGTTCACATTACATGCAAGTATGTTGACACCTAAGCTGGGCTCGATCTTAAGCTTTTTCAATAACTTGTCCTGTGTATGAGTAAATCCCATTTTACTTGTCCCTTTAAATAAACAACTGGAGTGCTAATGTTAAGTAAAAATCGTTGAACTATGGATTCATTGTTAACTAGTTTGCGTTCTAAGTCTTGCTTCTTAACACTATTTGAAATTACTGTTACCAAACAAAGCACATGTATTGCACATCCTATAGAAAAGCTGTGTGGTTTGTTGGCTACTATGGCAGCTAACATAGTTACTTACTTCTCAGCCAAATACAAACACAAAACATCCCTTTAATTTTTGTCATAGCTCAGACATTCAAAGTCATCCCTCCAAGTGGGACTAAATTTTAGATCCCTCTTAAATGCGTACGTGTCAGTGTTAGCCCTTGGATTGACTAGTTTCTGAGCTTCATCTTGCACTTTACTGGTTTGTAGAGGTTTCAAAAACATTACGACTGATTAGCTTAACTTCTGCTGCTGAAGTGAAGCCCTCAGATTTGAACTTATAAACTTGCCATTATGCACGTGCCTTGGTAGGCTACTTTGCTTTTGTAAAGCAGTTTGCCAGCCTGTTTGTTATTTTTACCTTGCATATTTACATGTCCAATCGTATATTCTGCATCCACTTGTCCAGTAAAAATTTTCACTTGTCTCTGACAAGCAGACACCAGCCCTGGCTTATGCAAACATCTGTGCACAGTGCCCGCACATGTTCACAGATATGCAGATACAGTATAAGTCGGCCTTTGCAGGTTCCCCTCCCTGATTTTAAAGTAGTGGCATCTCCCCTCAGATATTTAGCCTATGGTGCAGGAGAAGTACCATCGGATACGACAGGTGCTATAGTTTCCTGTAATGGAGAAGCATGAAGTTCACGCAAATAATCAGACATGAGAAGTTATTCAGATACCCAGGCACGTGAGTGGTTATCTCTGTGTGGCATCTGGAATATGAGGAAGCAACTGCTGCACAGGCAAAATGTTTTCTGCAAGCTAATTATATTTCTGTTGATGTTGTAGAAAAAACTACAGTTCAGACTCAACAGGAATTCAGCAGTGAAAACAGCTCTTGGCCTTTTGAATAAAACTTTATGGATATAAATGTACATTTTTTCAGCAGTTGCATCCAAGACATAGTAGGCACTTATGACGGCCAAGCGTGCATGCCAAAGGCTGTTTCTGAAAATGTAGGCTGATTTATTGTTAGCATAAGGACAACAGATGGAACAAGATTAGCACATTATATGTGCCTTCAGATTATTAGGCATAGCGTATGCCTGGTAGTTTAAGTCCTCCATTGTGAACATCAACACTACATTTCCCATACTGCATTTGAAAATGAACTTACTGTGGTCTGTACTCTTTACTCACTAAAATATAATGATCCACAAAATACTTAATTTTCCTTGCTACTTTTTTTGAGAGCCTGTTTGCCAAAATGTCATGAAAACTTTGGTGTTTAATAAGTACTGTCAGTACACAGAGCTACAAACAGTGACGCCACAGTGCAGTTAGGCTAAATTACTACTTCTTAAAAACCACATACAGTTTTGCAAATCAAGCTGCATTTCTGATTCTAATCTGGTTCTTTTCCACCCCTGCAACACGTAACTGCATCACATTTTACTTGTCCAATTAAATGAGTGGCTGGAGTCCTAATGTTCAATAAAAATCGTTAAAATAAAGATTCTGTGTTAACCAGCTTAGTTAACATTAAGTCTTGTTTCTTATCACTATTTAAAGTTAGTGTTACCAAAGAAAACACACCTACTGCGCATCCTATAGCAAAGCTAATGTAGTTCCTTACTTCTCAGCCAAATAGTTGCTCATGGCAGGTAACACAAAACATCCCTTGCTTTTTGTCATAGCTCAGACATTCAGATTCATCCCTCCAAGTGGGACTAAATTTCACATCCCTTTTAAACTCGTACATGTCAGCAGTAGCTCTTGGATTGACTCGTTTCTGAGCTTCATCTTGCACTTTACTGGTTTGTAGAGGTTTCAAAAACATTATGACTGATTAGCTTAACTTCTGCTGTTGAGCGAAGCCCTCAGATTTAGTAAGTTATAAACTAACCACTACGCACGTGCCTTGCTAGGCTACTCAGCTTTTCAAGTTTGACAGTCATGATTACACTAATTCAGAGAAGCTTTGAATAAGCTTTGTCCAGACTTTGTTTTCCACTGATGGAAATCATATCAAGAGTCTTATACCAGAAAAGTACTCAAGATGAAGATTAAATGCTAATACCAACTTTTTATTCATGCTTGTGTCTTGCTCAACTTTGCATAGTGTGATGTGTAAATGAATGTGATTCCTGCTGCTGTAGAAATACTCCATAGCTCCTTAGCAGCAAAGACCCTGGCCTTGTTTTGTTTGTGGTGTGGGATTGTGACGTGTCTATACATGTGTTTCTGCATGTACTGTAGGGGGACTGGACCTGGAAGGTCTGTTCCTGGTGAATGGAAACGCGGAGCGTGTGGAGTGGCTGCGGCAGCGTTATGACAGTGGTGAGAAGGTGAATTTGGAGAAGGAGGCAGACCTGGCCTCAGCCGTCAGCCTGCTGCGTCTCTTCCTACAGGAGCTCCCAGAGCCTGTAATACCCACAGGCCTGCAGACACGCATACTGCATCTTTACCAAGGTGAAGCCTCCTTCTCACACAGTCATTTTCCCTTATTCTCTTTCTCTCACAGCCTCACCCCTCTTTGAGTCAATGTTAAAGTGAAAGTTTCATGAAGGTTTAGTTGCTTGAAACTTACATGAACCTAAATTGCACTTGAGTTGCATAATATAGAGAATCCTGCAATACATTGGAAACCCAGCGGCAACAGTTGCACCCATCTTGTGAAACAAGTTTCATGAAACAGCTAATCAAAACACTTATATCACATCCCATGATCATGTTGAATGACATCATTTTATACAGTTAATTCTGTTGGATCACTGGGAAAGAAAATAAAACATAAAGTGTGTTAGATGGTTGAAAAGGTCATCCTCCTAATTTGTTAGTTTTTGTTAGTTTTTCATTTTGTCAGTTACTTGAGTCATGAGCCCAACAAACAAACATTAAGTTCTTTAGGCATTTTTGTAACCAGCTGGCTTAACTTGCCAGTTAATCGCAACAGCTTCTTAAACCACTGCTTGTGCCAGCATTTTTATTCTTCTTTCCTACCCTTTTTTTGTTATGAATTACGTTGCTAGAATATACATTTTTCTTCTCTTTTGACAACACCTAATTTCACATGGAGTGCAGATTACTTTGGGATCCAAAGGGTGAAAATCACTACAGAAGGGGAGACAGAAATGTGGTCCTGTATGAACTTGCAGTGCTTCTAAGATGAGCAAATAAAGAACCACAGATACATAAATAAATAAAAAATTATAAAAATTTTATAATTTTACGAAGATTATTAAAAAAATACTGCAACGTTACAGTTGAGTTTATATAGCAAGAACAATACAAGGCATCGAAACATGAGCTGCTAATTTGGTTAACAAGTGGAGTAATTGAATGTGTTGCATGCAACTTTGTTTTTGAATTGCTTTCTGTTGCTGTCAGGTTGCATGGAAATTATGATGCATGAAGGTTGCACAGTGTAAAGCCAGCCTAATATTTATTATTTTGTATCTACTATAAATTATTAACTATTATGAATCTAATGGTTTGTATTTATGAAAGGAAGGAATTGAAATGTGGGCCCACATGCAAGCCTGCAGGGTTTAACACCTACTAGGCTTACACCTACTCCCAAGGGTTTTTTTTTTAATCGGTTAAATTTTCCACCTGCTTTCTACGTCATCCTTTTCGCTTCAGATATGAATCATCAGCTAAGATGGGCTACAGTGTTTATATATTCTCCATTCCATGTCTGTGGGTGATTATGTGGATTTGTTACTGTTTCGCTTTTGCATGCTGATCTTACATCATGCCATAGTCACACCCTTTCTTTCATATCCTTGCATCAGCAGTCTTGTTTAGCTCACTCCCATTTGAAATCATCTCAGATCTCTCTGATGAATTTGTATGTGTGCATGTTTCATCCTCAGTCGGATGCCTGTGTTTTGTCCCTGTTTAGAATATAGCAGCGAGGAGGAGTTGGCTAGAAACATGAAATACTTCCTGCAGCAGCTGCCCCAGGTCAACTACAGCCTGCTCCGCTTCCTGTGCCGCTTCCTGTCCAACGTGGCCTCTCTTCAGGAGGAGAGCTGGAGCATCGGTGCCCTCGCTGCGGTCTTTGGCCCTGACATTTTTCAGTATGGCTATAAACAGATCCTAAATATTCTCAGTGCTTTACCAATTTACTGTCATGCTCTTTGACACTGAGTTTGCACCAGAAAACATTGAGATGCTTCACATTTGCTTTATCATTAGACCATAAAGATTTTTAGTAGGCTCATGTGCAACATGGCATCGTCCAGTTGCACCTCCAGACATTGGTGATTGACAATAGTATTTTGGTGGGGAGACAGTGGTGGCAGGCAGTCGAGCTGCTTTCCCAGAAATAAACAAACAAAAATAACGCTTGAGCGCCTTTTCAGTGCCTTTTTAAAGTGTTGCCTGAGCTGTTGCTACTACTCAGGAACCTCTCAGATTTGCTCCACCTTTTTCCATTAAAACATTTCAGCATGTCAGGTAATGTGATAATCCCACAGAGGAGCGTGCTTAAACTGGACAAAATGCTTGTGTTTCTTGTTAGAAACTTTGCTAACTGGCTAAGCTAACTTTGTTTCATATGGTTTGGTGAAATCACACTTTACGGCCTATAAATAGCTTTTTTGGTAAAATAAGAAAATGACAAAATCTTGCTGTGTTAACTTAGCCTGCAGGCAGCTGTTATTGTAGCCTGCTACCAGGCTGGGATATATAAAGTGTTCTAGTTTTCATCAACTTTGGTGGAGCCACAATATCAGTTGGACGGGAATGACACTAGTTCTTCAAAATTTCTTCATAATTCAGTTGTTGAGATGTAAACAAAATCATTTGGAGGGTTTTGATGTGAAAAGCACTGTTCTAGAGAAGGTTAGAGTTAAAATTGTTCACAGAGGTGGTGATTGGAACCAGACATCTGAAAAATTAATGCTTCTAAAAGCTCCATCACAGAAAGTTACTACATGAAATGCTTATGAATATGCTGCCTGATGCTCAAGACAGTATTTTATGATAGCTTTGAGATAAGCTGTTGCTGTAAAACAGATTTTTTTAAAGTACCTTCATGATGGAGACGTACATGCAGGGTGTTGATTTTTTTTTTGTTTGTTTTGTTTTGTTTTTTTGATTTAGCACTTTTGATGTTATCATCATTACATTTAAAACTCGAAAGACATTATAGGTTCATTGGTTGTTTTGAATCGTAAATTAATGTTTCTCTGGAGTTAACAATTTAACATCCAACTACTTAGAATACCTTTGTTTATATCTTAACAGTATGGACATTTTGAAAAATTGGTGTAATTCCCCTTCAACGTGCATGTTTCACAAGGCATGTTTTTCTGTTGTGGAACGCTGCAGCACAGCTATATCTCTTTAGCAAGCATGACCACTGTAAAAAAAGAAAAAAAAAGGCAAAGAAAACAAAGTGCCTCCTCGTGTTGCTTTAGGATATTCTCAAGCCAGACAGTGTATGAGGGCTAATGTATGGCATGGACGACACATGAAAAGAACAGAAACAGATTACCAGAAACATATACTTTCCTTTTGTGCACTTTAAAGCTGTGGCCGGTGCATTTTCGGACATTACATCATCCAATTTGATAGCCGTCAGAATAGATGCAATCTATCAGCATTTCCCGAAACTATCATCATTCGTCTGCTCTGTCTCTTAGTTACTTTTGATATTTCAGTTGCCTGAAATGATTCAATTAAAAAGCTGTGGTGAGCTCTGATAGCCTTTGTTCTTGTGCCCTACAGCTTAGATACGGATGTAGAGGACCTCAAGGAACAGGAGTCAGTGAGCCGTATCCTGGCTGAGCTGCTGGAGAACCAGGAGGACTTCTTTGACACAGAGGAGGATGATATTTCCACCACTAATGACTACAGCTCCATTAACGAACAGGTACACATGGCCACTCTGCCAACACAATCACCTAAATTCACAACACCCTACTGATAACATTAGTATCAGTAGAGCATTCTTATCTGTAATCACACTAGGACTGCGCAGGAGTCATGTGCTGTCGGTCACAATGACTTGATATTCTGTTGCTGATTTCATCCAAGATCCTTAACTTGAGTTCATAAGATTGCCTTTGGAACATTTTGTAATGGTTATTGTAACAGGTTGAGTTGTTTGTTTGTGAAGTAGGTGAAGTGTTCTTGGAGAAACAGTAGTTTGGTGCACGCATTGTAGTGATTTCTTAAACTTGAAAAGCAGCTTACTGGTTGATGTTTGCTCAAATGGTTTAAAAGTCTGTTGCATCTATCATGAGACCAGGCTGAGGCAGGATTAAACCCAGGCGGACGTGGAGCAGCAGGAGAAAAGAAAGGCAGCGTTAGGAGGTTATTATGTCTCTAGGCTTATGTAACGCTCCTCCCATACCTTTGAGTGGCATCCAAAGGCGTGTCTCTCTAATGTCTGTTTTGCAAAGCATTGCAGGCTGCAGCTTGGACATTCTGTAACACTTGTGGAATGAGACTTGTTTGACTCACCTTCTGTTACCATGCCCGCTCCTTTGTGGCCATAGCACACAAGCCACATCTAGTGGAATGTGGATCTTAAAATATGCAGGCCAGCCGCAAGCCTATAGACAGAGGAAATATTTGATGAAAAGCCAGAAACACTCCTCATGCCATTTTTCTTACAGCAGTGATGAAATGGCTATTAGGCTGGTCAGTAAAAAGGAATTGGAAAGAAATGAAGGAATGAAAACAGTGGATAACCACAGACTCACATAATCTGCTGATTTAACGTTTAAACTGACATCTGCAACAATCTCTAAAGATGCCTTGTTTGCTTATGGAACCCTAATTTAATGAATATGGCCACCCTGGGCTACACTGGCATACACAAGCCTGTGCCACTTTGAGAGCCTGGCCTAGATTAACAGGAACTGAAGTCTGCAGTTTCATACTCTGAACAGTCAAAAGCCTGAATGAGATATGAGCTTTCGGGATTCATCCTACCACGTGCCTCAAGGCCACAGATTTCACACAGGCCTTCTTTACATCTTTGTGTAGTGCATACTGCAGTAAAGTCAGAGAGGGAGCATGTGGGCACAGATCGACCCATCTGGGTCCAGGCCAGAGACGTGAGCTTGCATCAGCTTTCAAATGGTCTGCTGTAAATAATATGTGTATAAATCATGAGGTCCTGTCTCTTCCTGTTTGGGGACTTTCCCAGCCTGTCTATCATCACTTTGTCCCCTCTCACTTCCCTCACTGCCAGCACATGACTCTTGCGCAGTCCTACGTTAAAATGAAAGACTTCGACATAAATTTGTGAGTTTCTGCTGAATTTAGTCAATGTGGTGTAAACAGTCAATTGATGTGAAATGCTGCATTATACAGAAATGTGCTGACTTCGTTTTCTTTATAGTGGTGAAGGTAGGAATCAAGGGTCACATCGCAAATGTAGCCGTTTTATGTACTATGCAAAATGACCAGTGAACCTGCATGTTCCTCGTTATGTTTACAATGGTAAAATAGTGAAAAATAAAAACAAACATTTTTGGGTACTGTTTTGCCTTACAATGCCTGACATGCGTCTCCCTGCCAGAATTTATTTAAAAAAGGGGGATGCACCAATATGGCAGTTCTGGACCGATATCCAGTATTCTTGCTGGGGCTTTTGAGAGCATCCTTATATAACCGGTATTGCAAGTACTGTCTAAACGGTGCTTTGGTTGATCATAGGTGAGATTGTGAACACAACATGCATTAGTACATGCTGCACCATTTGAAAATATCAGTTGGACACACCTACACCGTGAACTCTATGAAAATAAGGTGACGGTGGGCAGAGTACAGGCAGAATTGACTTTAGTGTTTATATACATGTCTTACCAGTTAGTACCCAGTCTTTTTACAATGGGACAGTTAACATTTTTTGAAATTCATGACCTAGCATGTCCAGTGAAGCGTCACTGCTGGACATGTTTTAGACCTGTGCGGCAGAAGGTAGTTGTGGGTGGAGTTTGTTGTGTAAATAAGCCAGGGCAGGTGATTGCCTCTATTGCTGCTTTGGTGGATGGTCCAAACCATGTATTTGTTGGGTTAGAGGTATATAGCTGATTGTAAATTCAGACATCCCTCTATTGGAAAGCACCTTTCAAGTTCTACAAGCTCTCGCCATCATGGCGGCGCCATATCTCAGCTGTCTTCTTTAAGGCAATAATCTTATGTTCAGACCTGACGGATGCAGCATGCCCTTCTAAGGAATGGTGCACACATTGCTGAGTACTGCCCAGGCTCCAGTCTCCCCAGCAACTCCTTGCAGGTTCTTTTCTGAACTCGAGCAACTGCAGAAGGCCATGCCCTTTTGTTCCTCACATTCTTAGCACTTCCCACTTGTTTGCTTGCCATTGCTAAACTCACACATACACAGAGAGTGTTCTTTCTTTTTTTAAAAAAATTGGGAAGTGGGTCACCCACCAGTGCCGCTGGAACTTTCCACACGTGTGTGCAGGCAGCAGAGCCCGCTCTTCTATTCCTCAGAGAGTGAGCGCACTGCAGCCTCTGTTTGTGTGGGTTGATTCCTGTTTGCTTGACAGCATTTTCCACATGCGCTGTTAAGAGCACTTAATTAATCACTGCAACTGCTAATTAGACAACCAAGCTCAAGCTTTTTTTCTTTTAATGCAGATGTTGCATAATCAAGAATTTTACCACACACTAACAATGCCTCCTGGGCCGTACAAAGGTGCAGTCTCTGCATACTGCAGCTACTTGCTTGAACCTACACATAGCCACCTCTGTTGAAGGTTTAGTGAAGAATAAACCAGCAGATATAAACCTTAGAGGTCGTTCTATGCTGGTCTAGTCTGCTGTATTTTCACTGCACATGCTGCGTAGAGAGAAAAACTGCCAGAGCCCAGTGATTTAGGACTGTGCATTAGTATTTATTTCTTACCAGCATCCAGATGTGTTATGGGAAGGGCATAATGGATAATCACATCTGAATAATCATATTGACCTAATTACATTAATGCAGCAGCTTGATAACTTGATAACATTGCAGTGCGGGCAAATGCAGAACAGTCCAACTGAATTCATAAGGATGAATCTAACAAACCGGCAGGGAGACTCAGGGAATCTGCAGGGCTTCCAGCATTTTGTAACATAGCATTCAAGACTAGGGCGAGTGGGAAATGGCTGTAAGCCTATAGAACCTTGTAAAGAGCCCAGGTTATCCTCTCCCCTGTTCAGCAGCCCACCCGTTACACTGACCACATATGACTCATATCTGCATACAAGATGAGCAGCAACCCTGCTCGGCCAATCAGAAGCTGCCAGAATGGTCACCATGGCAACGGGCTAGTGACACTGCAGCAGATGTAGAGGACGATGGAGAATGCAATCATCCAGGCTATGTGGCTTTAGGTTACATACACACAAAAAAGCTTTATACTCCCCTTTTTCTTTCAGTGTCATACAAGAGCTGACCTATGGTGTATTTATCGCAAGTCTTATGTATTTTTATACCTTACTGCAGGTGTTATTTAACCCACACTGGCTAATGCAGTCATTATTCATCTAAAAAAATTTCGGGTTTGTGCTAGAAACAGGCTTTATTGCAGAAAATAAAATAACAAAATCAGGAATGAATTTGAAAGTTGTAATAATTTTTAGATTGTCTAGATTTAGCATAACTTGCATATTGGTTTAACCTTCATTGCGTAAAAATAGCATTGTGTTGGAAATGTGATGTATTATTGTGTCAAATACTTTATCAGCTGAGTGAAATAGCTATTCATATCAGAATGTTCTGCCAAAAATGACAATTTAGCACATCATCATGATAAAGCACAGGCATGCTCTCATTGGTCAGGGGAATACGGAAAGGAGAGCTCCAAGCAAGTGCCAAGCCTTCCATAATGTTTTGTGGAGACTTTCTGTTTTTATATATGATGTCTGTAAACCCTGACCATGTGATCTGAAGTCACTCCACAGATGGTGGTAGCTAACTTGGTGCTAAAATGTCTCCCACTCTGTCGTAGATCACTGAGCTGCTGGAAGATGAGAAGTTAGAAGCCTGCGAGGAGCTCCCGCAGGATGGCGAGGATGGCCCTTCTTCAGTATCCACCAAACATCCCCATGTCACCCCCTCTTCCAGGTAAGAGCGCACATTTAAAATTTCTCAGCTAGGGTTCGGTGATATATAATATTATATGTTATCGTAATAAATTACATTACAGTAAGGTTTTTTGTGCACATTGATGGTATGTAAACGTTGAGCAATTACATGTTTCATTAAAAAGAGATGGCATAGCTGTCTAGAGTACATCTGTTTTTAGGAGATCGTAAGTTTGCCAAGTAATACCGAGAGGAAAAGGCCCCGTTTACACTTGGCGTTAACATCTGAATTGATCAGAGCAGTGTACTGTTCTTCACAAGTGGCAAATGGATTTCCAGTTTTTGCATTCGTAAGCCTATTTTTGAATGTGTAGATGCCCATAACTAACATGTGTAAGCTAGCCCGTGTGTCTGCCTGTTTGTCTGTTCATTCATTCGTTGTTTAACTGGCCATACCAGCATTCTGTGGATGTACATGCAGCAGTAAAGTGAATAACAACTTTCCTTCTTTAAGACGTTGCAATATCAAAGCTGGGTGACGTTTAGTGAGACAGTGGGGTAGTCTATGACACGACCTGCAGATGTAGAGCCCTTTTTACTCATTTCTTCCTGCTTTTGCTGTTATTTTAAGTTCAGCATGAGCAGCAGAACAGGTGGGGGATTTTGGTTTGAGGGATGTCTTGATGATAGATGAAATGTGCAATTTAGAATATTAGGACCTTACCCAACTAGTTCTCAGATCTGCAGGTTTTAAAGTTTTATCATATTTTTATCCCTTTTTTTCTTTGAAGCTTTGCTGGATGTTTACTATAATACACAGTTTTGGTATTATACAGATGTTTTTTAGATTTTGTACTGTGTTACAGTCCCTGAGTTTGTAAAAGACAAGATCTAGATATGATTAATTAAAAAGCCTGATTAATTGGATGCAGTGATGTGCAGTTCATTAAGCATTTTCAACCCTGTCTCGAAAAAAGTTGTGATGCTGTGCAAAATGTAAATAAAAATAGAGTGCAGTGATATGCAAATCATGTAAACTCTGTATTTAATTGAACATTGTGAAGAGAACATATCGAATTTTGATACTGAAACATTTTGTTTTTTGAAAAATATATGCACATTTTGAAATTGATGCCAGCAACACATTCCAAAAAAGTTGGGTTGGTGGCGTGTTTACCACTGTTTTTAAAAAACAATACAATTTCTCAGTTTCAACATTTGATTTGAAGACTTTGTACTGTTTTCAATTAATTACAGGGTTTAAATGATTTGCACATCATTGTATTCAGTTTTTATTTACATTTTGCACAACGTCCTAACTTTTTTGGAAATGGGGTTGTAATGGTATGTGTCTATGTATGTATGTATGTATGTATTTATTTATTTATTTAAAATGTATGGTATTTTCAAATGCATTTTTCAAAGTTCTCCTGCTTTTTGCTTGTACAAACATATCAAACCTTAGATAAACAAAATACTGTGATAAATACCAATGTATTATACAAATGTCATTAGATATCATGATATAATGTTTTGGTCTTGTTGCCAACCCTTTCCCTCAACCCAATTTGATACATGCTCTCTCCATTTGCCCCCTGTGTAACCCAGTATGGCCACGTAAATGTTTTATTTGTGGAGTTCACTGACACAGATGTTGCCTTGAGAAACATCTCCTTCATATGTATGTCACATTCCACCCCAGTTGATCTGGCCTCCTGTTGATGTTTTCTCACTGCTCATTGCTGTAGTAGAGTCATTGTCTGTCTTTTCAGTGTTGGCTTTTAACCAGCTGAGTCAAAAAATAGTTATATATCTCTGTTTTATCATTTGTTATTATAAATATGTCTGAACATTGTGCTGCAGGGGTTTCAAGGACATCTATTTTTATCTGTAGAGGCAGGTTTTCTGCTTGGGCCATTGCTGTTTCTGGGCTAGCTTCTTTTCCCTGTCAAAGCTCTTGTGATCCCTGTTGGGTTAAAAGGATGTGATCTCGTTTGAAGAAGGAGTGGGTTGAGCCTGGAGGTCTAGACCAGAACAAATCTATTGGCTGTCTGAGCCCTGATCTCCCTTACCTTTTGTTGCTCTGCACCTGTTCCTGCTTTGATGCAAGGTGAGCGGTCTGGGCCTTTTGAGAGATGCCCCAGACTGCCTAAATGTCAGGCTGTCATGGTGTGGCAGTGCTGTTAAATCATTAAAGGCAGGTATGTGACAGACCAGTTCGAATAGGAAAAATGCAAGTAATTTACATTTACAGCTTTTTTTATTGTATGGCTGTTTTTATAGACATGCTTCACATTTTGAACATGTTGTTTACGATGGACACCAGAGAAGGATTTATGAGTATCAGTGTCCTGCAACGCGTTTCCAGGAAAGTCGGCTGGGTAATCACAAAAAACACACATGGCGGAAACAGGCTAAGGCTGGTTTATTTTTATAACTGCCTGGCACAGGAGTTAAACTGGTAATGTATTAATTGCATTTTAGATTCTTGTGTGAAGCATTGCATTCATGACTGTTTCTCTACATAGTACTTTCACTGTATTTCAGAGCACTGTGTTCTTATTGTTGCTTTTATTGTCATTACTATTATTATTATTATTGTGCATAATTGCAGAAATATGTATTTTATTTCATTTGCTTATTTGCTTTTTAATAACATGTAATACTACAAGGTAATGAAAAAAAGAAACATTACTGATAAATGCTTATTTTCATAGCAAGTGGCATTAAAATGCTGAACCAGGGATCCTGCCCAACCCTGTTTGAAAAGCAATGAGCAGTAAAGGAAAGAAGAGGAAACTCTGCCTTTTTAATCGTCGTCTTTAAATTAGAACACGTTTTTGGGTCATGTCAGTGATTTTGGGGGGGTGGGTGATCAAGATTTGTAAGACAGTCAAAACCTCTTTATACCAGAGCATGTGCTAAAATCAGCCATGTCTGCTTCATTGCCTGGGGCAGTCTGATTAACTTTCATAGAGCTCTGGACAGCTAGCTAGCCAGCATGCTTTCATTTATTCTTAGAGATAAATGAAACTAAGCACATGCTGGCTAGCTATCAATCTGGAGCAGTAGGACACCAAGTTGGTCTGCACTGTTGCCTTAAATTCAGAGTCTGTGATCAGCTAACTTTTTTGGCTTTCTAAACAAGCGATTGCTTCCCCACGAAAGTGCATGGGCCCACAGAAGTTGTTTTTTGTAATGACTTTTCAGATGTTGAATATAATAATTTGTCATATATTATTGAGAATTTGTTTCAGCCGTGAAAGAAGCCTACAAAACTACTGCAGCTTCTGCACAGCTGCATCATAAGCACTTGGCCCAGTCACTTAGTGTTAAAGGTGATTAAGTACATTAATCCCTAATCTGCACAAACAGGCTGGCATGAGCACTGGCCTGGGGAGAAGTAACCTTTAGACATTGTTTTGCTATAGAAAACATTGTGACATTTTGAATTTATGTTGCAGCCCACATATTGTTAATCTTGGAAAGTCTGTTTCAGCTTCATGGTAATGTAACATTGTGGGTATTAATGATTTACATAGTATTACATTGTGTTAATAATTTAATTCTGCTGTAGCCACGGATTTCTGGTAGTGAACAGTCTGTATTACTCCTGCCCTATATTTGCACCAGAACCTTTGATTTGTGTGTTGAGGAGTCTGAGAAAAGTCAAGTGAGAATGCTTTTATGAAGGCATGGGGGGATTTGGGTGGCAGCTGCTGTAGAAATAAAGCCCAGACAGGCTCATGCAGCCAGTATTATGTACCTTAATCAGTGGTGGTGTGGCACTGTGAAAGGACCCAGCCTAGCCCTTAATGGGAGATTTAAAACTTAATGCCATTTCTGCTTTTAATATCTCTTTATTAGTGTAGTGCCATTGCAGATTAGCTGTTAGCTTTTACTTTTCAGTACCAAAGCTGGTCTTTATTGAAGGGTGCAGTATTTACTAATATTACCAGTATGTGAAGTATGAAAATTCTTTAGAGGTAGGCTACATTTTTAAATGACTCACGCCAACATTTTCAAATCCTTCTTAATATTGTAACTGGCAACGTTAATCTCAGTTGAAGCAGTCTTGAGTCAGCAATGTCTGAAAATTTCACTGTGGAACTGGTAAGTGATTGATGTTCACCATGAAAGTCTATTTTAAGAAATAATGGCTTATGTTGTTCTTCCTTGATTAAAGACGCTGGTCCCATTTCAGTAGTGCAACATAATTAGGGATGCACAAAGTTGTCAGAATCATATTAGTATTGACAGATAATTGCTTACATCTATCAACATTGGATAGATGACTATATTTGGCCAATATTTTAAGCCGAAATTTTATAACGGCAGAGCAGAATGATTAGGCAATGCTGGGCTAAAATATATGGATTTGCATATATTTAATTCATTTTAATGCTTTTGTAACCCTCCAGCAATAAATGGTGTATCACTATGTATTGCTGTATATTTATGCATATATTTATCAGTGTTTGTGTTGTCATGGGCAGATATGTGTATGAAACATGTATGTGTATGTGACATCGCCTTCGGCCCAGAATTCCCATGTTAATTCATCCACCGAAAATAATTGGATATCTGTGGATATCTGTGAATTTTGAAGCCACAGTTCCATAAGGAATTTACATATGGTCCTTAAGGTAGATGTGAGTAAATTCAAGAGAACATTATTCTCTTTTTATAGAAAATTTGTCAGCTATTGGCACATGATGAAATTCTTCTGAACAGCATCCCGTCTATTACATATATTGCCATTTATATTTTTCCTTTTTAAACATGCTAGAAGTTCCTGTTTCACTGTTTTTGAAACTCATCCCAAAAAAGCTTTATTGGCATTGTAATGTATGGTGGTAAATTTGTGAATTTGTCAAGCTGATTTTCCTACAAAGGCCCCAAGAAACATGTAAGAATTCATGCACTTTATTTACATCAAAATCTGATGTCCTCTGCCAGGAGCTAGTGTCTGGGTTGTGGTTAGATCTTCCAGCTTTACAATCCATAATATGTCTCCAAAATCCCACAGAAAATGGCTTATTGACTACAGAATCAAGCTAGTGGGCATCTCAGTATGCTGACATAAACCCTACTAAAAATCAGTCTGGCTGAGCATCAGAGCTATGCAAAAATGGTTCTTCACATCTGTGATACTGTGTGTCATCAAAAAAGCCAGGGCTTTTAATTACCTAAAGACATCTAAAATGGCCTCTGAGACAGTAAATAAAATGCCCACTGTGGCAGTAAATAAAGTTTCGGTTAACAGTCGTGTTTTAAGGAAAGTCAAGCTGGGCAGTCCAGGTTTGTTTTCGTCCAAATCCAGCAGCTCTCCTCCTTTGTACCCCAGCAGATTCTGACAGGCCAACACACTTCAAAGCTAAATTTAAGCCCCGCCATATATCCCTTTCGACTGCTATGGAAAGTATTTTTCGTCTGTCCCCAAAATAAACGGAGGGATATAGAGGGGTGTTCTTGAGACACTTTGTTGGCTGTGACCCGGCTGTTGGAATGTGTGAACAGCTGTTTTTCGAAGCGGTAGTGGTACATGGGAGGTGGAGTGGTCACTGATTCACCCTGACTCCACCACCAACACAGCTCGTCAGGTTTACATCTACATTGTATTGCTGACTTAAGTTAGGATCCGCAATTATAGCTTACTACCTTTGGGCTGTTTCAGTTCTCCTTTAGTCCAGGCTAAATTGGTTTATGACTTTTTATGAAGGGACTATGTAAAGTGCATGCCAAATTAACTTCCCACTCTTCTCTGTGCCAATACAACATCAGTCTCTCAAAACAAGTGACACCCTCAACCTGCTTGCCCATGCCCAGGCTGAAGTGTTTTTAACAGCTTGCAGTTTGGCCACCAGATCATGTGTTGGGTCATCAAAACATGTTCTCTGTTGACTCGACATTTGGGCCTCTGGCCTGTCCATATATGGAGTGGCTGATAATTCATGTCCACTCATCATTTGTCATGTCATGTACATGCATCCCTCACAGTTTTCATGTAACTTTAAACCCACGTGACAGTACATACCACAGTGTATGTTCCATGTGGCCTACATAACCTGACTTATACAATCAGAGTGTTATTGGTGGTCCTTGAATAGTGTTATCATCTCAAATGACTTCCTTATCTCTTTTCCTTAAGGTAACAAAGATTTAATGCTTTTAGTATAATTTGCTTTATCTCAAGGAAGCTACTGTTGCTATGATAAGTGGGTCATGGCAAGTACAAGCAGTTTTGTGCTGGTCTCTGTGAGAGGAGACGAAGAACTGTGTGATCTTTCTGGAGTAGCGTGTGACCTGTTTAAGAATGAATAAATCCAATGCCAAAGTAATGGACTATCTCATCTGCATGTGTTTGTGTCTGTCTACATGTGCATGAAATACAATTGTATTTTTCTGCAGGGGTGGAAGAGGTTGAGTGTCAGAACCATATGGGTGCTCCAGTAAGGGGTTAAGGTTGAGTGGTATCCAGGTACAAGGCAGATGCTTTGGTGATGAGCAGGTTATATAAAAGAGACAGCCTGACAGGTGCTGTGCTGTGTGAGCTCTGCAGTGTTAGAGGTTCTCTGTGAGTGGAGGAGGCTGTGAGAGGGCCCTCCCCAAGGGTGTGGCCATTGGCCTGGAGGGCTGCTAGCAGTGCTGCGTCATACAGCCCTGTATTTGAGCGAGGGTCCAGCTTGTTTACTGCAGCACTTTTCCAGCAGAAGTGCCGAGCCTTGCAAGCAGGCAGCCAGCACAGACGTGAGTCTGCAGGATGAGCGCCGGCAGGCTGTGTTTACTGTTTGACCTGCTCATACAGACTCTAGCTCCGCAGAGCGCCCAGTCCGGATAACCAGACGCCTGGCTGAAAACAGCTACAAACACGGCTCAGACACGTAAAGCAAACCACCGAAAATGGCTTGTGAAGTCCTTCTGCACAGGTATTGTATCCAAGGAGCTGGTGGAGGGGGGGAGCGAGGGTTTCTCCAGGGAGGAAGGCTTACATAATTGTGCTGAATTACTTGTGAGAGGCTATGGATATTAAAGTAGAGCTGCTCATTCAGAGCACTGCTCTCCGGGGCATGTCGATTTATAGCTCCTCATATCTCTGGATCTCTAGGCCATGGCTCATTGATGTTTCTGTTCTGGTCAAGGTTTCAGCTGTCATTTGTATCAGATTATGTGAGGTTACCCACTAACTAGGCTTCTCAGCAAGCCAAAGCCCTATGTCTATACATGCATGATCAGAATCATAATCAAGCTTTACTGGCCAGATAAGGTTACCCATACAAGAAATTGATTATAGCGTGATATAATCTTGGGGAGGGCACAAGAGAATGAGTATCATTCTAATGTGTATTGCGGTAAAAGGTTGCTCATTACAGCTTTGTTTGTTCAGCTATTGAAAAGAACACTGGTAGGAATTGTAAAAATGCTGAATCATTCCCAGCTTCTGGATCTGACTGCTTTATGCTTTATAACATAATTTGGTTGGGAGTATACGTGTGTGAGTAGATGTGCTGTTGATAAGCTGAAGTGCAGAGTCAGAGGAAGCGTATTCTTCCTGATTTTTCCTACTCTGCCTTCGCGTGATGAAACAGCAGGTCTCTGTAAGACAAAGAACTGTTTGTTAGCTCTAGTATGTTTCAACAGGATTTTGTTCTGATGAGAGCTTACTTGAAAAGAGATAAGGATTCAAGTATAGTTTAACAAAAAAACAAAAAACTTTTAAATAGCTTGGCTCCCTGTAGAGCTCTGCCTTTCACCAGTACATATTAACCCCTGTGCATTTATGAGCTGGATATTTTCTGAATTACTTTTCACTTCATTATAGAGGACACTTCTTGGTCGATACGGAATAGTTTTGGAGTTCTTAACCTTTGAGGGATTTTTTTTCTGTAATTTTCCGCCTCAGTTGGGTTTTAAAGTCAGTTTGCTCAGGGGATTTGTCCTTGCCAAGAAGGTGTTTTTCCAAAGAGAACAGATCCATATAAATCAAAACCACTACAGTGATACTAGCCTCATATGTCCATTTGGTCATATTCATTTGAAAAGCAAAAACCTGATCCTAAGCAAGTACTCCTATTCTGAGACTTTCCACAGAAGTCCAAATCTTGCTGAGTAATCCATGGCCCATGGGGAGCAACAATACAGGAACCCATTACACTGTGTTCCAGCTCAGTGAGAATTACCACTAGAAACATTAAAACTGACATTTCTTTGTTCTCTATAGCAAAAGACATAGAAGAGTTGTATGTTGCTTACCAAGAAATTTCCCTGCAAAGATTCATGATAGTAGTGCTGAATCCAGTTTCTTCATGCTTACTATAAGGATAAATTAGTTTTAAACCGTTATTAAATCTATATGTATTCCAAGTTGTTAGTCACCTTTGCCCACATTGAAGTCTCTTCAGCAGTCTAAATATAAACATGTCTGAGTCAGATGCTATCTATCTATGATGATGTTTTCTGGACATTGTATGTCAAACCAGCCTGTGCCACCCACCTCTGGACTCCGAGTAACTTTGTGTGGGTTCTTTCAGTTTTTTCCCTTCATTGAAAATAGTCATGCACTTCTGTTTGGTAGCTGGAGGCACAGCAGTTTCCTCTGATCTCTTGTTGGGAAAAGCTTTCACATTTTTAATACTTAAGAACTCATTAGTTTTTTTCTGTAAGACTTACAAATCTCCTGAAGTCTTGGCATACTTATAAAACTTCAGTTTCCCTTATTAGTTTTTTGCTTTTCATTTCTGCTGTTTGTTTGAAGCAATTTGCCACATATTTAGCAATTTACAGTTATCAATTTTAGCAGTCAGTCTATGAAGCACTGTTTAATTAAAACTATCTGGTTCGGGCTCCCAAGTGGCATCAGGAGATCGCGAGTTCGATCCCTGGTGGTGCTACAGCCATCTGTGGCCGCTAGTCCAAGAGAGCACAATTGGCCTCACTCTCTCTGGGTGGGTAGGATGGCCCCTCCTTCTCCCCCATCACTCAACGCGATGCTAGTCAGCGCAGGCTTCTGTTAGCTGACGTAACAGAACTGGCGCTTGGCGCTTTCCTCCGAGCCCCTTGGCTGTCCAATGACGTTGTGTGAGTGGCAGTTCGAAAAGATGTGGTGGCACTTTACAGGTCTCGGAGGAAGCCTGTGTTAGCCTTCACCCTCCTAGCATTGATAGTATTGTGTGATTGGGGGAGTCCTAATTAGCGGCGGGAATTGGAGACGGTTAAATTGGGGAGGAAATTTAAAACTATCTGGTTCTGTTTTTTGATCATATAAAATCAGCCATTCATATTTTCGGCATGTAGAGTTTATAGCTCCTATAAAAAAGAGTTGGCATTGGCAGCAACATGTTCATATCGGACAGACCCTAGCAGCACAGCCCTCCCAAATACAGCAAAGAGCATAAATCACTTTCTTAACTGACCTGTAGTATACAGGGCAGTAATGTCTGTACACAAGTATTTATTTATGTGGAAATTGCAGTTGTCCACAGTGTCATGGTTGGTTTTAGAGCTCATATCGTGCGTGCGAAGGCCGTGTTTTTCCCACAGGGACCCCTGAACCCGATCCAGGCGCTAACAGCAATGGCAGGCGCTCAGCTGCCCACTTATGTAAGCAGCATTCTTCACATGCCAGACTGTGTTTATAGGATGCAGTGGACTGCTGAATCACCCGCACCCCCCACCTCCCTGTCAGACACCCTCTTCCTGATATGTCCACTGTAACATTTGCATGTACATGAAACAGGGAAGGATGAAATTTCCTGCATTCTGAACAGCCCCAGGTGGCATTAGTGCGTATAACAGACCCATGTACAGAAGTACATGAGTGGAGTCTTTAGGAGCACTGTCCTTCAAGAGTACCCACCTGCACTCTCCACCCTGCCAGGGTGTTATATAATAAGGCTGGCTACATAAGGTCAAGGTTCTCTTCCACATGCACACACACATATATGGAGAGGCAGTGTAGTGTGACGTTGTCCTAACATTCCCTTCCTTTTCTTCTTTTTCAGCTCACACATCTCCTCCATCAGCATTCTTCCAGGATCTGCAGAGTAAGTGCTCATTCATCCTATTTTTTCTAGACTGCAGCTTTCCCAATCCTGTCACTAGAAAAGGCTTATTTTGACAAGTCATTAATAATTTGTGTAAAGCTTTCTATAGTTTATATTAAAACTAATATGACCCTAAAAGGATCCAACATAATTGGTATCTTTTTGACCACAATTTTCAAGCAACTAAGCTTAATTATGCACATAATCAGTAATGACCTTGAACTCAATATTAGTCATGAGAATGGGTCATCGGGAACAGCTTGTTCTAACAGAGTTTCAGTAGTTGTTATAGAGAACACAGCTCAACTGATGGGTAAGTTTGATTCAATTTCTATTGTGAGGTCAACATTTAATTACATTATCAATATTTTGTAAGTTTAAAGCGTTTGGTCCTACAGAGCTCTGATTATATATAAATACAAAAATAGTTTAGAGACAAAAGATTACAAAGTAGCATGTCTTTGAAAACTGAGCTGTAACGTTTATCTTAGAATTTCATTATGTTACACACAGATAACAAATGTAGCATTAGGAGTCCTGCCCAAAGACTGTCTTACTATAGCGAGGTGTACTTGCCTGTGCCGAAAATCAAACCACAGTCTGCCATGTAGAGGTCAACAGTGTTAACCACTGTGCTATTACTAAGTGCTATAAATGATATGCCTGAAATGCCTCATACAAGACCTTATATAGTATGTCTCCATTTTCAGTCTCCCAGAATTACAACGTCAACAAGCCTCAAAAGCACAGTTAAAATAGGTGCACAGTTTTTATTTAGTTTTATTTAACAGTATAGTGTTTCAAACATTGGGTTTTATGTTTCTTTTTTGTATTTGATTGAAATTGTTAGACATGAGATAAACACGTTTGACATTGCTTTTTTTTTTTTGCCCCTGCACCAGCAGTTTTCAGACAGCTCTGTTTTTTTATGTTTGTATTGAATTATGACCTTGAGCAAATGCAAGTCAATTATTAGTCAATTAAATAGGTAATTGGAAAAAGATGGTGGCACATTTTTGTCATAGAAATCATTCTAGAAGTAAAAGGTCATTATAGAAAGCTTCATAATGCAAAATTAAAATACTTTAATGCTGACTTTAGGCAAACAGCGCCCGATACGGCTTGCATCTTTTCTGCCACAATGTCTTGCAGCTATGCTTAATTATAGTTTTATTGAGTTATGATGTTGACCTTGACCAAATGCACAGAATTAAACCATAAACATTCCTGAAATGGAAGACAAGATGAAGCTGAATAAATGAGATTATAGACCTTAACCCAGATAAGCTTGGGCTTCAGGCAGGGGACGAGAAAGTGTCAGCACTGTGAAAACAAATAGGGTATGGTGGGAGAGGGGTTAGTAATGTGATGAGAATTGAAAACCATGCACTTTTAAATCATTTGCAATGGCTCATATTTTAGGGGCTCAGAATAGTTTGACCTCATTTGAGGTGTAATACTGTTCAAGGTCACAGTAAAACAGCTTAGTCACAGAACAAAGGGAGGGCTGCATGAACTGGAGAGTTGCTGTAGTATAAAGTATGACAGTTAGGTAATGGTTAACAACAAAAGTACAGTGTTTATTTTAAGGAGTGGTTGCTACTGTATGTGTTATATGAGGTTTTAGTGGTTAGACATCTTTGTGGTGTTGGTCCATAGCAACAAAAAAGAAAAATGTGTGGCACAATGCATGTGCTGATGGATTGTTTTCCAAAAGGGAGATTGCAGTTATTGCACCATCACAGCAGGGAGTGCATTGCTATTTCAGCTGGGCTGTGCCATCAGTGCAAGCAGTACATTAATCTTCTAGCTGGTGCGTAGCTGCAGCGCACAGTGTAGCTTAAAGCAAAGCCCGTGGATCTCACCCTTAGATGGGACAGTGCTGCACGAATACACAGGAGGCCTTGGGCTTTGTTGGCCTGGGCCCAGGTCTTTAGTGATTGCTACAGCATTACAGGCAGTAAACAAAGCCTTTTCTGAGAGATGAGTAATGATTTGTGCTGTGGGCCTTTTGGCACGCAAAGTGGCAGCATGACCCAGCAGCTGCTTATGGCCCTGTTGGACACGTGTGTGTTTGTGAGGCCGGCGGGCCGGGCTGGGGTTTGCATGTTCTGCACAAAGCGCAGGAAACCAGGAGGACTCGTGATCTTTCGACAGCCAGGTCCACGCCTCATTCTGCAGCTGTGCAGGCTTCTGCCCTAAATGGGCAGTTCAAGCTCCGAATACTGGGCTGTGAACTTGAGAAAGTGTAGCGAGCCCAACATACCCTCATTGCCAGGCACAGGAGAGTGAGTTGCTTATGGTGGCGGATTGTCATTATGGACTAAAGGCTGCGCTCACACGGCTGCTTCCTCACATTGAGAACATGTTGCCAAGGTTTACTGAACTTGGCTGTGAAGCTTTAAAGGGGTTGCATGATGACAAACCTAGGAACCATATGTGAAACTGTGGTCTGTGATGCCATATTATTTCTAATGTGGATATCAATACTGAAACATTGGCCCTGTTCACATCTCTTGAGATTTTGTGGCTGGAGGAAAGGGTCCGCCCACGTTTATAACGTCAGTCTCACAGTGCTTGTTTGTAGACAAAAATTCTTGTTTATATAAATGTAAGGTTTCGATTTGCATGGGTTACTAAACAAACAGGAGAGGAAGCAGAAAATAAACTACAAAGCTGCTGCTGTCATTTCCGCTTAAGGCGGTCCTTAATCTGTGCTCGAAGACGCATCAAGATGCTTCAGCGTTCATACTACAGAGGTTAAGTGCGCCTTTGCCCACCTGCGAAGGTGATTCAAGAGATTGAATCACATGTCTCTGAAACACAATGTACCCTGTTCATACTTATGATCGGGTTATCTAGGATGAAACACTCTACTGCCTAACACAAAAAAACGCAAATGATCAACATGTCTTGCAGCAATTTACTGTCTTAATGTAATGTTAGAAATCTTATTTTTTCGTTTTCGTTTCAATTGCAGTGAGTTTGAAAAGAACGGAAATGCCTACCACTAGTAACTACTCGTGTACATACTCTTATGATGGCTGTTTGTCTATACAGCATCCTCCAGAGGACCATCCGTGCTGCAGTGGAGCAGCACTTACTGGATCTGCAGAGCTCTATAGACCAGGGCCTCAGCAGCTATGAGAACCAGAGTTCATCCTGCCAACCTGACCAGGGGTGAGTGTGTACAAACAAACATGGTAAAAACACTCCAGCAGAACCTGACATGTTTACTAATTTCTGTTGGTACAAGCACTTGATTGGGTTTAAAAATATGTTAGGAAGGCTGTTTTTCTTGGCAGGTGCTTATCTCAGGTCTTTGTAGATGTGAGTATGTTTGGCTATAACATATTTGCCTTCTTTTGTGCCTCCACAGAGAGGGGGCCAGTGAGAAGATGACAAGGTCAGAAAAGCTTGAGGAAGATCAGGCTGAAGCTGACTCTCCATCTGGTACAGAGGCAGACCAGTCTATAGAAGGCAATGAGGTTTGTGGACGGATGGTGAACGTTATGGTTTCTGTGAAGTTAAAACATAAATATCTGTAATTTTTTGTTAATTTTTGTTGAACAGAATCGTTATCCTTGTATTTGAACTCTGCAAATGTTGTAGAAATACTGTTTAAATTAAATGGTTAAATTCTTGAACCGGCCAATGAAAAAGGATTTCCAGGATTTTTTTTTCATCTGTGGTATCTAGGTAGATGCAACGAAGCTAGCTCCCCCATTGGATATGCTTTCAAGAACTAAAATGAAGGCCTTACATTTCAGATGACCGCTAATATAATTAGCAACTGACACTGGAATCAACCAGTCGTGTTTTTGATTTCCAATAGTTGGGAGGGGGATAAAACGTCTCTCTAAGCCTTCTGGAAGTCCTAAATAAGTCCTACTTTCAGTATGAGCGGTATATCAGTTGTTAACAGTGGCAGCTCTGTGCCAGGGCTTTTTTACAGTGGAGTAAATATTTTAATGTCTGTTACAAGCTTCAGATAAAGCATGGAATGTTTTACAAGCTTGAAGTTTCTGTGTTTAATCTAGAACAGCAAAAAATGTTCATGTGAATTCCCATTAGTTTATTTCTAACATACTGCTAGAAATCTCATAGTGGCACTAGCAGAAGTTAGCATTTCTAAAAAGTTTTAACATTTGTGGCCGGATCCGAAGGCCTAGCTCTAACAATCATAAATCGACACTAGTGCTTAGGCGTAGGGCATTTTCAGAGCAGCACAAAAGTCGTGACGTTCATGCCTGTGAAATGGGCCTCCAGGAGCAAGCACTGTTGCACAGTAGCCACAATGTCTCACCAATACAAATTCTCTATCAGCAAGGCTTAGCCTTGCCTCAGGACACAACAAAGCTGTTGTTGTTCTTCATGCTGGCCTCCAAAGGAGAGTGAGACAAGGGCCATTTTGTCAGATAAACAGGCCACACACTGTTTTTCAGCAAGCAAACGTAAGCTTGGCCCCATCACTAGTCCTGCTTCACTTCTCTCTACACCACCACCATCAAACCTGTGGCCTGCCTCCAGGTCTGCACATCCCTGAAATGGGTCACCCTCTTTTAATAGACCACCCCAAGGAATTGACAGCAGCATCTGCACAGCAACACCACGCACACACACAGCCGTGCCACCAGAACCTTCTAATCACTAGTAGACCTTGACAATTTGCATGGCCTTTGCTCAGTTATATCTTTCTTGCTTTATTTAAGGTACTCTTGGAACAGTTTGCCTTGAGCTCCATCTCATCTGTATTCATTGTTTATATGTACCCCCATAAAGTCACCCAAGCATTTAATTCCTGTTGCTCCTTAAGCTTTCAGAAATAGACACCTTTACAGATTCTCTTTCTACATAAAACAGAATCATGTTTTCTCTTTCTCCAGGCATTTCAAGGTTCCCAGCCCTGCAGCCTTGCAGCAGAGGAAAGTTCCAGAATGGACCTTGACACAGAGGCTCTTGTAGATGCTGAGAACAATATCAAAACAACTGCAAGGTTAGCTTTGAAGTATTAGTGACGTGAAGTACTGGCACAGTGCTAGTCTTTAGAAGCTTAAATTTTGATTTTTTTAGTTCTTCTGCTAAGGCAGTTTAGAGGCAGCTAAGCTCCAAAATCTCAAAGTCTTTGATAAGGTCTTTATAGGGAATAAGTAATACTGTTTTTTATTTAGTATTTTCATAGCACTAAAACTAAAATACTTTGCCCATCATTAGGCAACTCTGTGTAAGGGTTTTTTTTTGTTTTTTTTTACAAAGTTTAGTTTAAGTTAGTTTGTAATTTTAATGAATAATTATCCACAATCAGTATCTATGATTTTGTGAGCTGTAAAAACTAAACAATTCACTCAATTTTTCATGCCCCTCTGCATCTATTTCTATTCATGTTTCAGGTGATAACTCCAGTAGTATATCTTGATATGAGCTCCACAGTGACCACAGTACAGAATGTAGACCAATAAAGAAAGCACACTTTTATGAGTGTCGTTAAAACTGTTTACAAGCCTATGTTCTTTTAACTTAACACAGGCTAGAAACCTACCAAGAGTGTGAGCGCATGGACCAGGCTGATGTTACCACCTCTGTGAGTATACCGTCAGACATTAGACAAACCCTAATCCACCAGTACTAGGTGGCTTGGCCACATGACTGAATCCACTCTCCCCTATAATAGGAGTCTGCTCCAGATATATGTGATCTGAATGCTAACACCCGCAGAGCAGCCTGGCCTGGAGGCCAGCGCCAGCCACCTCCAGCTCAGCTCCGTTTTCACTGATGGAGAGTGGGAAGGTAACTCAGCATGTCCAGTTAGTGATGCTTGTTATGAACAGTCCTACTTTGGATCAGCTTTGGCCTTAAGGAAATTCCCCTTTGGAAATGCACTGTGAACAGGGTCCAATGCTAACAAAGCATGTAAATTCATGCCCGCTAGAGCGAAACATAACAAGGCACATTTAGGCATACACATAGTCAAATAGTGAGATTGACTGGACCTGTGTATTTTTTTTGTGTGTATGTTGGACCCATAGATAAGGTGACCCTTTGTCCTTGACACCAGAACTGTAAACAGGCAGATTTAACAGGTTTAATAGATCAACTTTTAATGAAAGGTTAATGGGGCAAATCCATTTTTAATGGATCAGCTGTCAGTGACCTTTACATAAAGTATCCTTGCTTAATTTCTCATTAGCATTTTCCAGAGGCAGTACATGCCTATAGGAAGTCCTGACAGGAAGAATTTGTCAATCATTTTCACTTCGGCCATAATCCATATCATTACATACATATGTGTGTCTTTGCTTGTTTGTGTGGCCTGATGGTGATAGATGGCGACACATAAGCTCACTTCAGTCTTCTCTGCTATCTCCCTGTCTCTCTCTTTCTCTCTCTCTGTTCTCTCTCTCTTCTCTCTTTCTTTTCTTTCTTATTTCTCTCTCTGTCCCCTCACCCATGCCTGGTCAGCATCATGCCCCAACACTTTCCCCCTCATAGACTTCACATGTATGCACCTGCAGAGGGAAGGGCACGGTAAGTAGTAGCTCCACAGCCATTCTCCTCTTCCTTTCAATCTCTGTCCTCCTTCTAATGGGCATTAATCCCCCCTCTGAGATCACACCTAACCTGTGTCCCCCTCCACTCTTCTTACACCCAATTAGTACTGCTGTTTCCCACTGGTTTCAGTCTGCCCTTTTCAAACCCATTAGCTCTCCCCTAATGAATTGCCCGTTTCGGACATGGAAACTGTTAAGTGGACCAGCTAAGTTTCCATAGTGGTGGGCCGCAGGCCAGTACATTCTCTCTATTCATGGAAGCTCTGGGGGCCTCTCTGTCTCTGGCAAAGAATGTAGCTCTAGATCTCCCTGCAGGCCAAAGCGACAGTGTTAGCATGCTTCACTGCGCCTGGTGCTACACAGCAGAAGTGGATTTTTACTCCATTACTGTGGCTGTTGAAGCCCTCTGCTGGCTCTAGTTTAGTAGCACTGAACTTTCTCTCCATTCCCCCTTGACTGATTTGTGTATGTGCAGTAATTATTTTGCCCGTTATGGTCTGCCCACTTGCTAGAGTGAACAAGTTTTGTAGATCGTTAGAAGAAATCTCATCTCATTCAACTTAATGATAAATTGTAGCATTGAATTGTAGAAGTACAGTTTTTCTTAAACTGATTGGCGGTCACACTATTAGGGTGAAGCAGGGTATTCTTTTTGAGTATAATCAAGATCTTTAGGGATTAACGTCTGATAAGCTAGACAGAAAATCTTACCAGCTTCAGTTGTTTTAACATTTAAAAGCCTCTAGAAGTTGAAGAAGATGATTCCATCATGGATACTTAGCTATTGCAGTAAGGCAGGATAATTAAACAGCCAAAAAACATCTAGTCTATACTAATAATGTGGCCTTTGACACCTATACAAAATAGATGTAATTTGAAACTAATAGTGCATTTCAAATGCATGTATTTTGATGTAAGCTGAGTTGTGCACTGCACTTTCTCGTTAGGTTGAGGTTTTGACAACAATTTCAAAAACTTTTCCAAACTTGCAACAGTTGTTATGAAAGGGCTAAGCATTGCTAGATCCAAATAACATGTGTCCTTCAACTCCCAATCCACACTGTGACTCTTTACCCCTGTGTACCGTGTTTGGGTTGTTTTTCCAGTCATTGCTCTCAGTGGATTCTTTTTCTTCCACCTCATACCCCTGGTCCTCATTCTGTTGTCCTGGCCCTTAATAACCGTCACTACTGCTCTCTAAACACCCTACGCAGGCTCTGAAGCAGTGGATCCCCTCACCCTCCTCTGACCCCCTGACCTGGGGCTTTGTGTGCGAGCTGTCCCTTAGTGCTTTAGTGTATCCCTGCGAACCAGGGAATTTTGGAATTACATTGAGATTGCTAACTCATTTAGAGGCTGAGTATTTTTATTTAGTGACTCTGCATCTATGTTTCTGTCTGTGTGTGCTGTAGACCCCGTGCCAGTGTTCATGTCATGGCAGGAGGAAAGTGAGTCAGGCGAGGCACAACTATCTCCGCTGGCAGGTCGCATGCTGCCACTGCCTCTGGAGGAGGACGCTCAGCCACTGCTGGCCCGACGTTTCCTGGACTTTGGCCACAGCCAGCGCTTCCTACAGCAGGACTCTGACGCCACCTCCCCCAGCAAAGCACTGTCCTGTGGGAGGTAAAGCGACCATTATGATACGTACAATTCATGGACAACCTTCAGTATTCAGATGGACATGTAGACAGCCTTCATTATTCAGATATACACAGTTCATAGACAGCCTACAATGTTCAGATATCAGCAATTCATAGACAACCTTCAGTGTGTAGAAGTTCATCCTTCACTATTTATAAACAAGCTTCAGAATTCAGAGAGAATTTTACATTGTGATTTTTCTCATGAATCTTTTTCTACATTCTCATCCAGGCCTCGCAGGGCCTCCTTCAGTTCCAAAGAGAGTGTGAAGGGAGACTCTGTCTCTCAGCAGCTCACCAAGAAACTTCAGAACCTCAAGAAAAAAATCAAGCAGTTCGAGGAGCAGTTTGAGAAAGACAAGAACTATATGGTTGGCACTGTTATATCGTAGTCCTGCATTCTCTTATAATGGTACATAAACTGTAAGGCCCAAGAATGTTAATTCCTTTCTTTACACCTTTCAATTTAGCCATCTCATGCTGACAAGGCAGCTAATCCCAAGGTCCTGAAGTGGATGACTGATCTCACCAAAATCCGCAAACAGCTTAAAGGTAAGCCCTCAGTGAGTAAGCGAGTGAGTGTATTCATTGAGAGCAGGGGGTGCTGGGTCTCGGGTTGGTGCTCGGGTTGGTGATTAGCAGTAGTGTGCTGTCAGTGGGCGGTGTGGCCCTCAGACAGAGCGGAGTCGTCTCCCCATCACTGCTTCATCTCACACGGGACCCACCCGCTCGCACATGTGTTGGTCCATTGTGATTGGCCTCCCCCACCCTTTCCATTATCCATTTCCATTTGACGCCCCGTCAGAGGTGCACTGCCGAATAAGTTTCTCTTTCTCTTTAACTAAACCCCCAACCCCGGACGACCCACATCGGCAGGACGACAGCACCTCTTACCAAAAGGGTCCTTGAGGCACCAGGCAGTGCTTCAGTCACACAGACGTCACTCCTCTGCCCCGAACACACCCCATTTTACACTGTCACGCCCCCTCACTGCCTCTAGACAGGCACCCCACTTCTGTAAGTACACTCAAGCAGCAGTAAGTAGACATGAGACCTTGCCTTGTTGAGCTTTTTTTGTGGCCTTCTCTCCTATGCTCTTTCCTTGGTTGTGCTTCTGACCGCGGCCTTGTAGACGAATTCCCTGCATGGGGACAATCTCAGCCACGTGTCATGGTTTCTTTTGTCTAATGTGAAGAAAGCTTCTTTTTTTGTTTTGTTTTTATTTTGTGTTTTTTTGCCCTGTTTTTAAGGGGGTGAGATTTAGGGGCGCTCTACCCCCAGTGATGTGCTTTTTTGACTTTTTTCTTCTTTTTACTCACAGTTTTTCTAAGACAGTTTTCATATCTTTACACATATGTGTGCCCTCAAATGTTGTTACTAAGTAAACAGTGGCACTGCTGATTGAGACACTAAAGTGGCTTTTAATAAGTGAACATTGTACTTTTCTTGGTGTAGCCATTTTATGGAGCTACACTGCTGTATCCTGGCAGCCTACACTGTTTCTCTTGACTTCTAACATCCCTCACCTCTCTCTCTCTTTCTGTCTGTCTGTGTATGTGTGTGTGTTCTGGCGCAGATGCCAAACACAAGGCCGACAGCGAGCTGACTCCACAGACACGACCGCGCAGCAACACGCTGCCCAAAAGCTTCGGCTCCACGCTGGAGCATTCGGCTACTGAGGGCTCTGCAGAGAAGGAGGGCGAGGCAAGGGGGCGGCGACCCACCCACGAAGAGACGCTTGAACTCATCCAGCGGCGTATCAAAAGCAAGAGAGAGGAGGACGGATGGCCAGAGGACATCAGAGTGAGTACCAGCACACAGCTCCATCTTCTCTTCTTACACTCCATTCACATTGTATGCTCTTGTATTTTTTTTGCTCAGTCAAGCTTTCAGTCATTTGCTTGTTAGAGTTATACTTCATCCAAAATGCTATCAGTGCGAACAGTGAGCAGAGGCCAGTGGAGACCATTTAGCAGTGTGAACCCATTTGCATAATGCTGACAGTCATCTGATAGCTGCTGTTAGCAACACTCAGATTACAGTCTGAAGTGCTTCTATATTTTGCAGTGACTTTGTAACTATTCAATGTACTCTTTGTCCTAAACATTAACAGTATCTTTTAAAGATGTTTGTGTCCATTATTTTCCTATTAAGTAGTTTAATAAATACATGGCACATATCACATTAATCTACAAAACCACCTTTTATATAAACACATTTTCAGTTCATCAATATAAACACATGCCTCACACTGTCTAGCCACGTACATCGACTGGCCACTTCATTAAGAACACCTACCTTCTATCTACACTCTTAGTGCATTTCATCAGCTCCGCTTAACACATAGGTGCACTTTGTAGTTCTGCAATTACAGACTGCAGTCCATCTCATTTTGTGAATAATTTGTTAGCCCCCTTTTACCTTGTTCTTTAATTATCAGGACCACCACAGAGCAGGTATTATTTGTATAAACTTGAACTCAGGGACCACAGTTTATGTGCATGTGTAAGTACAAAGACTAGCTTACACAAGTTTGTACAAACACATATTCAGAGGTAGGGTAAATAAAGTACATTTTTTTTATTAATGTGTGGTTGAACTGATGATCCTTTGAATTAAAAGCCTAATTTGTCATTGACCCCCTGAAATCTTTGTCAGCTTGCAACAGAAATCACAATGCATTTTGCAGTCGTACTGTGAATTATTTCCAAGTTAGCTGAGCATTTTCACTCGATGGTTGGTGGAGGTGGTAAGATTTGGCGGTGAAGTATGGTTTTATTGATTAATGTTATTTTTCTCTGCCTACTGGGGCATAGTGGTATACGGGTATGAACAAAAAATTTTGATTTCCATTTGACTTAAGTATGAAGAAATCTAACGTTTAACAAAGCCACATAAGGAGAAAAAGATTTATTGAGAATTTAATGTGGAGTATCTGTTCATGGTAATTTGTTTTCTGGACAGAAAATGACCAAGGAGCAGCTTGCTTGTGAGAAGACCGTGCTGCAGAAGAACTTGCTGTATTATGAGGGACTGCATGGCCGTCCTGTAAGTGTCTCTTCCTCTCCCTTTCACACATTCATAAACCCAGAGAGGAAGGAACTAAACCCTGAGCAGGAAATGGCTTCACTGACCACACATGACTATATTCAAACACACAGAGGTTATAGCATGATCCCACAGTATAAGTGCAATATTCTCTTTTAGAACAGTGCTGATTTATGCACATATATTTCCGCAGGTGACGCGTGAGGAACGTCTCATTGTCAAGCCTTTATATGACCGATATCGGCTGGTGAAGCAGATGCTCACTCGCGTCAGCATCACACCCATCATTGTAAGGCTTTTTCATCTCTTTCATATGCATACTTGCATGCATGCATGCATGCATGCATGCCAGTTCTACATTAGTTATCCTGATCTTTTTGCTAATAAATGCTTTCCAACCAAATGTGTCTCAAATCTCACATGAGCTGCCTTGGGGCCTTTAAAACCAAAATAGCCTCACCCCTCCTTCCCTCGCTCCCCTCATAGGCCTCCCCCTCAAGCAAGAGACGCAACCAGACCCTGCAGCCCATAATCGAGGGTGAGACAGCCCACTTCTGTGATGAGATCAAGGAGGAAGAGGAGGAAGAGGATGGTGGCGGAGATCTAGAAATCAGAGGAATGCAAAGTGAGGGGTCAGATGTCATTATTGCCCTGGACCCAGCAGCTCGCCCCAGCTCCCAGCAGCCTCAGCCGGAGAGCATCCTGAGGCCCAAGATGGAGGAGAGCTCGGGCAAGCTGACCCTTGACCTGCGTCTGTCCAGCTCCAATGCTTCATCCATGTAAGTTTGAAGAATTGCACTGACCCTTTAATACCAACAAATAAGCAATACAGTCATTAATCAGCCAAACTGCATTCTGACCTTTTAACAAAATTGTTAATGATCAGTGCAAGACGCCAGTTTTTAAAGCTGCTTAGCTTTAGCTTTGCACGCCTGCATACCCCGAGCGCATGGCCGCAATCCTCTCACGCACAAATCATATGACTGCCTATTTAAAGCACCTGCCGAGGGCCTGGTCGTCTGTAAGAGTCACTGACCTCAAAGCCTCAAGCTGGATAAGGCCATAATCCCTTTAGAAGGAAATGGACTACATAGACAGCTCGGCCCAAGTCCAGCTAGTTCAAGTGCCACACAGCCTCGTCACCTGCTTATCCTCACACAGCACTACACTTTGATCTCACCTGACACCTAATATTGCTGTGTGGGCAGGAGGTCATGCTGCTTACTACTCAGCAAAGCTTAGAGTCCACACAACTTCCTGTTGATTTAGTGTAAGGCTCCTGAACAATTAAGCTCCATGTACACTGCCTGTCAAAAGGACACCTAGCGTTTAAAAATCTTATGTAATATTCTGCAGAGCAGAATTGCATCCTTCTGCTTCAGTGGTTTGACATAATTGTTTATTTTGTGTCCTTTGTGTTTTTTGTTCATCAGTGTTCTCACACTACAGCACCCAGCATGCTCTTACACGTACATATTATACAGCCATTAGGTATCAAGCAGGCATGTTTACAACAGATGCAGTAATGTTTACATTTTTCATTTTGACTGGAATGTCCCTTACAACATATTAAACTTAAAGCAGTTTATAAATTGCCTTTTTTCCTGCGAACAAAGGAGTGACTGAGCTCATCATTTAGGAAACTTACTCTTCGTATCTGAGGATACTTTGATGGACTTGAAGCTCTGTTCTAAAATAGACGGACACCAAACATTAAGTAACAACGTCTTCTGTGTCCTGCAGGCCTGAGCTCCTGGAGCAGCTGTGGAAAGCCAGAGCAGAGAAGAAGAAGCTGAGGAGGACCATTCGTGAGTTTGAGGACGAGTTCTACCAACGGAACGGAAGGTAGGTCACAGATCATGTGTACAAAGGGTACGACAGCTGAATCAGGCTTTCTAGAATGAGCATCAGTCAGCAGGTTCATCGAGCACAAACAGAATTGTCTCAGGAAGTTGAGGGCGTCTTCTCACGCAAACTACATAGACACACATCAGCTCTGAGCTCCAGTGCAGACAGCGTCAGCAGTAGATTAGTGCGATATTGGCTTATCCCTGTTCCAGCTTCTGGACAGCGCACCACTGTAGTGTTTATTCAAGAAGGATGATACTCTTACAGTGAAGTAAACAGTAGGCCAGCTGAAGCGATGAAGCCACTTAATGTGGACCCTACTGTCTCCACAGAAACGTACAGAAGGAGGACCGCATGCCCATGATGGACGAGTACAAGGAGTATAAACGCATCAAAGCTAAACTACGTCTGCTTGAGGTCCTCATCAGCAAGCAAGACTCCTCCAAGTCCATCTAGAACGCAGGGAGCCAATCATGCTGCATCAGCCTGGCCCTGCGCCATCCCCCTGCAGCCAACAGCCCGTTACCGCTGCCCCATCATCTCAAAGAAACCCCATCAGTGCTCTTGAAGAAGGGGAACATTTCACATCCTCAACCTACCATCCAACAATCTTAACAATCATCTAACTCAACTTTTCTGTCTTCCCTTTTACTCTCTGCCTCCGTCTACATTTGGTGTTCAGACTTTAGTTTTTCTTTCTTTTTCTCGTTACGTTGACCTTGTTGTGTTGTAGTGAGAAATGCTCGGAATGAAGAGGGACACGCTTGGTGTTGGAACCAGCTCACGAGAATGTCTCTGGAGCAGAACTTATGACCGCAGTAACGGTCAACATCTTTTACAGACTCATGCCATGGATTCAAGCTACCTCCCCGAACACCGGGGAGCTTTAACGCTATCAGCGTGCGTTCTTTTGGACAGAACTATACGTATCTCTAAACTCACGATGTAAATTCATACTGTATGTATGCATATATTTCTATATTACAGTATGTCCTCTTTTTTTAAATGTTACTGACAGACACGGTACTGTAAATGAATGTCGGTGTTTTTTCTTTCTTTCTTTCTTTCTTTCTTTCTTTCTTTTTCTCTAACACAAGATATACATAAGGATATGTTGGTGCTCTTTTACTTTTGTTTTCTAATAATGTACACGTGGATTCTCAGCGTTGTATCAGACTGACGAAAAAAAACGAAGCAGCCAGATAGACTATCATATAGTATTTGTTATTCTCTGGCTGCATGGTTGATTAGTATATTAACGATATGTAACTAGATGTGTATTTAATTTATATCCTTTTTTCTGTGTTCTTGCTCAGTAGTCAGATTTCTGATATATCTGTATAAGACTTTAATGGAAGTGACAGACTGGAAACATGAATATGCCAAATGTACAGGTGCAGATGGCATGAGATTGATAAGAGGAGAGGACATGTTCACGCTGTCAGTGAGAGAGTTAATTGGGAGTGAGTATTCACTCCTATCTCACTCCTGAGTTGTCGTTAAACGCACTTCTGGTACAAGACCACACTGCTGCACTCAAAGTGTAGAACAGTGTTGTGTCCTTTGGGACGGAGCAGCTTTACTGACCCCCTTCCTGAGGCGCTCAATAAACCCTTCCCAGCCCTGCTTAATGTCAGCAAGCGACTTTGATCCGGGAAGGCTTGCAGTCATGCTTAAGAATTCAGAAATGTAGCTGAAAACGGGCGCACACTGTCAGATGCTTGAGACGGGAGTCACAGGTGACTTTACTGATGACTGGCTCACCTTAAACCTACATTCCATCAACATTACTTAAGCTAAGCAAGAATGAAACTTAGCACCATGACTGCATGCCAAGCCCTGCGGTTAATTTCACTTGCTTATTGCAGTTGACTGTTTAAACAGATGATTTTTTGAGGTTTCGCTCTCTTGGAGGACACTTTGAATAATTCGGAGTTGAAGTTCAGTCTATTTCTGCAGTTCCACTGTAACTCCAGCTAAGGGGAAGGAAGACCCTCCACCTTTCACTCTGTCTTTTTACTGTACACTGCTTCTTGGAGACCTTTTATGTCCTAAAGTTGGTAATCACAAATCCGCAGCCTTGCCAGGGCAGCAGTCATGTATTTATCATGTTGTCAGTTAAATCATTAACCATTAATATAGATGTGTTCATGTTTAAGCTTTCCTCGCTTGTGTAGAAGCAACTCTAAAGTGAAAGGCACTGTTGAAATACTCACATTAGGTTATCTGGGCATTAAGGAAGAAACAGTGGACACTTGTAATGGTCATGAATCTGGGAAAATGTTAGTGCTTTGGTCTGTAAAGACGTCTGTGACCTGTGTCTGTTCGTTCCTTGGGGTAAAAAGGCAAACGGTAGGGAGCAGCCGTACTCCAAAGATGCACTCGATGGGTTAGCAGCTGTTAGGTTACTGCCTGAGTTAAATTCAGCATATTGCTTTGAAGTGAGTCGAAACAGGATGGGTTTAGAGCGGCTTTGGGAGCTAATGAACGTTATTTGCACAGCATTCTGAGAATGCAGCCCATTTATTATTGTTTTTGTTAAACTTGTTTCTTGTATATTGAAGCACTACATGTATCTGAAGGACGTGTTGGTAATTTCACGCATGTTAAGCCCCTGTGTATCACTTTGTGATGGTCATATGAGGATGTTCTTTTTTTGTAATGAGCATTATTTTGTACTTTTTTTAACCTTCACTTGCAGTGATGCATCTATACAGTGTAGTACCTGTATTTGCTAAGCATCTGCTTATTGTTTTGTAAAAGCTTGTCAGTAGTGTGTTCGCATGGCAAAAACTTGTGTTTCTATTTTTTGTGCCATGGAAAAGAAGCAATAACCTAGCGTTGAGGTCTTTATCAACAGAATGAGAGGCCTTCTGTATCCAGTATGTGCATTTTCAATAAATGGCTTGTGATTCAATCCTTTTATTTTCTTTTTTCTTTCTTCATCTTCATTGTCCCTAAAGTTACTGAAAATAAGAAAAGGCAACGACAACTGTTTTGATACTCAGAAGATTCATATTGAAAGTCTGCATGGCCTTTAGTAGATTTCTAAGATTTGTAAAAGAAATGAGGAAGAGCTGAAGTGAGGAGAGGTCCAGCAGAGGTTAAATACAAATCTTAGCTCTTTAGTTGGCTTTGATGAGGCTGATAAAATGAAGGTTGTGTAACTATTTGTAACCTTCTGCTGCCACCCACTCATTTCATATTATTAGCTTAGTGATGTGTGTTTCTATATTTCGACTTACAGATACACTTCAGAATGATTTGTTTTCGTTTATAAATATATACTATAACTCATTACTGCATTTGCAAGCATTGTGAAAGTAATGCAGAAATGTTGCATAGGACACTGGGACACTGTTTGGCTCTGATTTTTGTTTTGACACAAAATTAGAATATGTACCAATAAAGCAGACTGAATATCCTCCATTACTTCTAGGATCTGGCCTTTTTCTAGATTAGGCAAGACCATTTTCATAAAACTAGAGGTTGAGTGTTTTTCAGGGACACATGAAGATATTACAATCACATCAGTATCTGCAGTTATTTGTTAAATTTTATCTGCATTTGACTAACATTGCAAACAGTTTAACAAAATGATACTCTGGAGGAGCAGTATGTGTGGGTGATGCTGGGCTTCTATGATAAAATGTCTGCAGTCTACTCTTTTTCTGCATTTGTAACCCTACAGAAATAAATAATACATTTCTCTGTAATGTTAGTCTACGTTAGTCCCAATATCTACATTTTATAAATGTTTATGAATTGGCATCACATCAATAGTTGTTGAAAGTTACTGGATATTGGCATCGGCCCAGAATTACCATATTGGTGCATCCCTACTGTTTTTATAGAAAAGGTTTTATAGCAGGGTATGATTAAGGCTGCTGGACCTCACGGACAGGGCAGAGACAAGAAAGCAGTTCTGTAGCAGTGAGGAGAAACTGGCATAGCTGGATGTTAGTTTGTTTTCTGGATGTTAGTATCTGGTTAACCAGCATAACCAGCTAAACCAGCACTAGCTCAAACAGAAATGTGATACATGGCAATATATAGATTTCAAATATATGATGTATAGTGGCATTAATGGATTTTCCTTATATTTAAATTATATTAGTCACACATAGACATATACAACATATATGCCAACTTATTTGAAATTGGTCATTTTCAAATATGGGACATATTTCAGCCATGTATCACCATATACAAGCATATGTGTGTACATATATTTGACAATAAATCATAGAAAACATTGATTTATGGATGGCACATATTACTCAATCAATTAAGTTACTTATATAATTCCTTGATGAATTTTAATAATTTAATATTAAAAATCAAATGGAAAACAGGAACAATAATAACTATACTAGCATATATTCAACCACACATCAGATGTATATGTATGATTCGTATATTATGCATGTACACTGGCCAACGACCGCCTTGTATCTACACTCACTGTCCACTTTCTTGTCAACTCCACATACTATATAGGAGCACGTTGTAGTTCTACAATTACAGACTGTAGTCCATCTGTTTCTCTGCATACTTTATTAGCCCCCTCACCCTGTTCTTCAGTGGTCAGGACCCCCACAGGACCAATACAGATTATGTATTAGTTGAGTGGCATATCATTCTCAGCACTGCAGTGACACTGATGTGGTGGTGGTGTGTTAGTGTGTGTTGCGCTGGTCTGAGGGGATCAGACACAGCAGTGCTGAGCTTTTAAACACCTCAGTGTCACTGCTGGACTGAGAATAGTCCAACAACGAAAAATATCCAGGCAACAGCATCCTGTGGGCAGCGTCCTGTGACCACTGATGAAGGACTAGAGGATGACCAACACAAACTGTGCAGCAACAGATGAGCTACTGTCTCTGACTTTACATCTACAAGGTGGAATGACAAGGTAGGAGTGTCTAATAGAGTGGACAGTGAGTGGACACAGTGTTTAAAAAATCCACACTGCCGTGTCTGAGCCACTCGTACCAGCGCAACACACACTTACACGCCACCACCATGCCAGTGTCACTGCATTGCTGAGAATGGTCCACCTCCCAAATAACACCTGCTCAGTGGTGGTCTTCTGAGGGTCCTGACCATTAAAAAACAGAGTGAAAAAGGGGTAATAAATTAGGCAGAAAAACAGATAGACTACAGTCTGTAACTGTAGAACTACAAAGTGCACCTATATGATAGGTGGAGCTGATAAAACGGACAAAGAGTGCAGAAACAAGGAGGTGTATTTAATGAAGTGGCTGGTCAGGGTGTGTTCACCCATCTAACAGGCGTATATGTATGATCCATATATTATGCATATACAGCCAGTGTTTGATACATATATGTACACAACACATATATATTAGATTTCTGCATAACTGGCATGGAATTCATGCTAAGAACAGCATTGGTGGCAGAAACCTTCATGATTAAACAGAGCTGACTGTTGCCCTCTAGGGGCCAACAGATGAGATGACAGCAACACTGCTGTGAGGCTTGAAATTCAGTGTTCAACATAACATAATATAATGAATACACATTACATTAATATGGGAATAAATGGATTAATTAAGAAAAGTCTCCAGGCAAAGCACAGTGTTTAATCATTCTTTTAATGATACACTGATTTAGAAATACATTAAAATCTATTGTGCACACCACTTTAGAGTAATCCAAAAACCATAGATTATACAGCGGAACGCCATTTACAGAGCTGGGAAGCCTCTGATAATTGCATTTAAGACATCTATGTCACACTTCATCAGTTCTGACAGGCCCAGCAGCTTTCAATCTAGAGTGATATTAACTGCATAGTCTTGCTGTGCTGAAAATATAAGGACTGAGTTAATACTGTTTTTCAAAAAGCGGCTGAGGCTGCAGTGAACCAACCTGCATGATTTAGGGTTAGTAAGTGTGGAAGTGGAAGGAGTGAAAATTTATATTTAAATAAATATTTTAACAACTAAAGATCAGTTTGCTCCAGTTATGTAATCACTTAAAGATCAGGTTCTTCAGTGCACTTAAATAAATGTAGCCAAAATCTATAATTCAAGAAACTTTAAGACCATTAAGCAAATTCAATTATTAATTGTTTTCTTAAAATAGCAAAACTGTCTAAAATCTAGATTTCCAGAACTCATTAGTGAACTGCGACTTCCAAATCCTTATTGATTTTATTGTTACTGCAACAGAACCTCCTGTTTCTATGAAAATTAACATCGTTAGAAGAACATTAAAATGTTAACCAATACCTGACAAGAGATACAGGCCAAAAAATGCTTAAAATCCATTGTGCTTACAATAACGTTGCATTATCCTCCTTACCTACAGTGACATTTCACTGCCATTAAAACATGTACTGGCTCTTTCAAATTCATATCAAATTACAGTGCAATATCATTAGACAAGTCACTGCTGTTCAGTATGTAACTTAAGAGACTGAGTGAACCATCAACCTGAAAACAAATATCTGGACCCCGTAATGTATCTAAGCATCGTATGTCTGATGTCTTGCTCTGGTTTTATGATTACTGACAGCCTCGTTAATAAAAGTGCTTATATGCAGTTGACATATCCATGTTATATTTGGCACATTTCCCACAATTATGAGGTGTTTGAGTCCCAGTTTCGATATACTATGCATTAAATATATAATGGCACAAAAAGCAGCTGGCTTAAACCGCTCTCCAGTTAGTGTTCACTTCTTTGCAGTGTTGTTTCTACAGTACTTCTTAGTCTGTGTTAAAACCCTGTTATCACTGAATCAAAAACAGTCACACGGTTAGAAAGGAAAAGTAAAATCCCTTTATGAGAGCAGAAACAGAGTGATGGTAGCGTTTTCAGTCCAGATCCAGCTCAGTCATGTTATGAGAATGATATGCTGTGATACATGCTTCTCCTGATGGCTGAACAGGTGCCAAAGTTGTGGGTGTGAGTAAGACTGTAGTTATGCTGTAGACCGTGAGGACCCATTTTTAGGCTCTGCCCTCGAACGCCCTCATCACTTTTAGAACGGGTTGAGAGGCAGTGGTTTCCTCAGTGTGTTGTAAATCAGTAGTAGAGCAGAGAAGGAGTTGGCATGCTCTGTAGCTGCAGTCCAGTTTCCCACACCAATCCAGCCCCAGCTGTCTCACTTCATTTAGACCATCCTTTAGCACCCGCTGGCTCCAGTCAGGCAGGCTGCTTTATCTGAGAACTCATTCAGTCTGACTGTGAACTCATGAAAACGGGCAGGGGGGCATGTGGCCTCTCAGATAATCAGTGGTGGTAAATGGCACCGTTTGAAGAGAGAGAGGCCACAGGGCTCAGCATGTGCGTGCCTGGTCTTACATTTTGGCGGTCAGTCTGCGTGATGGTGTGCTTTAAGCTGTTTTCATGGTGAGCGCAGGGTCAGAGTGACCAGAGCAGGAAGAGCCTGTCCCCAGCACGCCTGCTCCCACAGACTAGCTTCAAATGACTGTATGTCTACTACAGCCATTCTCTACGCATGTCAGTGGGGTCCTGCTCACCAGAGCCCTTAGTCATAATGGTTTGTCAATAACTGACACCCCTGAAATAGAAATGAAATAAGTAAAAACGTACAAACAGACAGAAGCTACAGAACAGTACTGTGCAACTGTACATAACTAAGTCTTAGTTAAAAAACATTTATCTGGGCAGTAAATGTGTTTTGCTTGTAATATTACTGCATAGTATTACAATTAATAAAAGAAACACATTAAAGCAGCACAAAGTAACAAGAATTTGTTTCCAAAAACAGTAGTTGATATCTTGTGAGCTAGTCAGCAGAGAACTAAGATTGGTTCACAACTTTTCCCCAATGCTCCCGGTTATTGCATATATTTGTTAAAATCTGCCACCAGCACACCTGATGTAATTTAATGAAGAGCTGTGTAGACCAACCAGGTATAG